TGCTCGACCCATTTCCGTGGGAACCGGCCATCACCCGTGCCTTCGATGCCATCTGTGGTTGACAGCCGCCGTTGCCTTGTCATGTCATCGCGGTCGTTCACTCGGGCATATAATCCGCAGTGTTATATATTCAGATACAAGTACCAAACACATAGGGATAGCCACTGGGAGGCTGACGTTCTCGGGGAGACGCACCAACGGTGGCCAATGACAGCATGTGCGCAGGAACAGGCATACAAATGGACTCGCACGTTTGCATACAACAATCACAGGGGTAAATGCGCATTTGCACTGTGTAGCATAAGCTACTACGAGCCTGCAGACCTAGACCCGGCTTGGATCACGATACACGCCCCCTCTCAGTGAAGGAACCGGTACAGCCTCCAGCCTAGAAGCGCTGTGGTGGAAAGGAGGATGACTGCGTCCCTAATGCGGCGGTGGGCGGATGATGGCGGCCCTCGAGCCCCTGCAGCATCGATAGCGGCAATCTCGTCCTCGGTCAATGCGGCTGTCAGGCATGGCGTGAGCTTCTGGGGAGTAAGACACTGCGATCAACTCACGCAGATCGCCGACGTCGAGGTATTCTTGCATGTGTTCCCGACTGGAGCTCGTGCTGAAGGACGTACTCAGCGCTTGAGAAAGAGCGTCGACGCCTGCGGCTTACGTGACAATGACCACGCCCTTGGCTTTGACCCAGGAGAGAATGACCTGGGTGGCGGTCGCACCGAGTCTCTTCGCCGCGGCATTGACTGGCTTGTCTACTGGACCGCCCGGATATCTTGTGATGGGACTGCACGAGTGGTGGTCAGCATCTATAACGGGCTTTGACGACAGTTTCTGACCTCAGACTACTGTAGGCCTCGACGACAACACCGTGCTGTTGGCAGAACGCGAGCAGATCCTTATTTACCGCGTAGTTGTAGGGGTGGAACTGGATCTGGCAGTCGAGTTTGCTTAGCAGCCATCGAGGGAGATGTGCGGAGAGATGAACCTGGTTCGCGGCAGGCTTGACCTTGGCTATCTTCCAGAGCTTCTGCATTTGTTCTAGATTGAAATTGCTAACACCGATGCTCCTACCGGGGATGGCACAATGTGTTTGGTATGAATTTTATTAGATGCGCAAGGAGCGTACTTGGTCAACCCGGCCTCTCTGACTGCTTCAAAGTCGCGCCAGTCAGACTCATAGTCCTTCACGAGGGCGGGGTTATGAATCAGATACAGGTCGACTTGTGTGAGCTCAAGCTGTTGCCTTGATGAGATAGGTACGCTGAGCTTGGGTATTCCAACTCGCCTTGGCCAAGCTTCTCTCGAGCGATTCCCGCACACCTGCCTGGCTCGACCACTTTGTCGTGATGAACACGTCGGAGCGGTCAAGTCCAGTCTCACGGATAGCGGCCGCGACACTCTCCTCGTTGGCATAGACTGTGCTTTGTAAGCAAAGCCCATTACGCTGCAGCCCGACTGGGGAGCACTCACACTGTGCAGTGTCTATGTGAGAGAAGCCGGTCTCTATGGCGTTCGTTACATAGTCCGTGACATCCTAAGCAGATGGGTCAGGGGCTGCAGAGCCATGAAGTTTGATCGCTCTACCTGTCCCTTCCACTTTGAGCCCGTACCAAACGCGATCTGCGGCATCTAATACATGGTCGTGAAGGTCAATCCGTGGGTGGCTGACGGGTTTGAACGCGCCTTATTGCCATCATTCAAAGTGACATTATGAAAAGGCATTTTGGACTGCTGGCAAAGCCTTTGAAGAGAGGGTGCGAGACAGTGTAGAAGCAAGGAACGGCAGCCCGCTGATAGCTCTACATGGCCCGGGGAGTTGACGCATGCTTGCGTGAGATTTGGCCGAGTCGCCGTAAGAGGGGATCTCGATTCTCGATCAGGAACTCACCCTGCGAACACTCTCCGTCCAATGGAAAGGCGCCCGCGTTGGGCCACTCGCATGGCGCTGCTCACGATCGAAAGCCCTGTGCCCTCGCCTCAGGCTCGCTTCTGTCTCGCCGCGGCCAACGACAACGCTCTCCGCCAGGGATCGTCGGCACTTGTCGTGACGTCAGCGCTGTGCTACCTCGCATCGCCGCTGGCCGCCCTGGCTGTCGTTCGCGTCCAAGCGAGCGACTTGCGCACACTCGACGACACACCAGACCACGGCACTTTCGACTCCGCCTGCTTATTCTTCCTCCTCAACCTCGGCTCCTGGCCGCTCTCGTCGCACTGTGAGCGTCCGGCACAGCGTGCGCACGCGTCCCTCAGGCGAGTCTTCCCCTCCTCCTCGCCGTTTCCCTCGCCCGCGACGTCCGCGCGCTATTCCGCTCTCTGAGCCATCGTGGCTGCTCGCCCGCGCTGCCAGCTGCCCACCCTGCCCGCAGGCACGTCCCTCACGTGAGTCGTCCTCGCCGTCACCCTCGCCGCCCACGACCACGCGCAGCCTCCCGCGTCTTATAGACCGCATGTGCGAGCTCGTCCGCACGCCAGGAGGCCTGTGTCCACGACGTCGGTATGTGCTCACTTCTTGCCGTCCGCGCGCTCTCATGCTGATGGCTCTCGCGCCATCGCGCGAAACGGTCGGCCGCGCAGCAGAACGCGCTCCACGCGGCGCCGCGCTAGAGCCGCGTTGCTGTCTGCAGGGCACCGGTGAGTGCGCGCGCAGCCAGGATGCGGGGCGATGGCTCACCGATCCGTGCGCAGGGCCCGCGGAAGACGTCGCGGTCAGTAACGTGCCATGCACCATGCAATAACCTCGGACTCGCGGCGCCCGCGCTCCCCGTCCACCGGGGCAGCCGCTGTGGACGGCAAGGCTCGCGAAGACAGTGTCGACGCGGCCGCGCGCACGGACGGCGCGCGCGAGCAAGGTGAGTGACGACGCGGGAGCAAGAGACGCGCAAGAAATCAGCAGAAGTGCTCCAGAAGCACGCCATTTTCTCGTCGCCCCAGGCTGCACCAGCTGCAGATGAGGCCACAGACAACGAAGATGAGGATTCTATGGACGATAATGCGGCCACCTCAAGCACAGAGGGACTCCAACTCACGTCGGCGCAGCAATTGCGCCTGCTGATGGGGTACTACCGTTTGTCCGAGATCTGGGAGAAGCTCCGCAAGACACCATTGAATATCGGGCACTCGGCCTCTTGCAGTGCAACCTGGCATCAGCACGGCTGCACACAGAGTTGGCTCGAGTTCTGGAAAGGCAAGACGCGGTGTGATGCCGTGCTTGAGATCGGACCCGCAGATGTGCCCGGTCGCCTTAAGGCGATAGGTAAGGAGTTTGAGCGGTGGGGCTCTGCGACGTATATGCACCACGACTGTAGGATGACCGCGAAGAGGAAGATCCAAGAAAAAGCAAAGGAGATCGAGGACGCTTTGCCGGAGTACTTTGTCGGGTGAGTTCGTTGCCGCAGCCTGCCGGCCATGCACAAATCCTCCCAAGCCATGATCAAACAGTGTATCTTGTATTCTACAGTAGGGTATTTATGCGCCGCGGATTGCGATCGTTTTGTACAGGTCCACAGTCGATGCTATATGTATCATTATATCATACACAATAACCGCTACCTTAGAGTTCTTGTCCTTGCCATCCGTTTCTCCATTGCGGTTGCAGTCGAATCTGTGCCACCCAGTTCGGTGTGCGCGGCCTGTCCAAAATTCGCGCCCCAAGGATACGTGAGATCTGGCTGTATGGTGGGCTGGGCCGGGGTAGATTGGCGGGAGCCAGAGCCCGATCCCATAAGGCTCTGCAGGATGGCGTTGATATCATTGGAGGAGGGTAGCTGCTCCTCGCCGATCTGCGTCCCGCGGAGCATGGTCTGTTCGACGAGCTCGTCCTCTTCCAGCTGGGCGACCCTCTTGCGGAGATCTCTCATGACCCACTCGTATATAGCTGCATCGCGGGGTAAGTTATTCGTGCCACTTTTGTTGCTCAGACTGCTATGCACCTCTCTCTTCCACGGCCGTCTTTGGGCGGGGCAGCCGCGGGGCCCACGCATTGGGATCTGCCGTGGGCGGAGGCTGAGGGTGCAGCTGGTCCTCGACTTTCTGCTCGAATGCGTCCTGCTCAAGTCCGGTGTCCGAGAGCGACGTCTCGTCCGGCCCGTATTTCGTGTCGACCGAACTGGACGGGGACGGGGCACGAAGAACGGGTGGCGCGTACTGCGGCCCGCCGGCGTGTATGTAGTGATGCGCCTGCGGCATACCGTCTTGCGAGCACCTTAAATGCTAGTACTCTGAGCACCACCAACTATCGATGTCCAAATATCTCCCGAGAAAGCTTACGAGAGTATTGTTCTAACAAAGCGTAACGCGCGAGGAGGGGCTGCCAAATAGGCGTCCATAACGCGTCGCGACGCGGTGATTAAGGCTAACTATCCCACGCACCCAAATGTGGACATCTTAGTCAGGTGTGCGCGCGCGCGTTCAATTTAAAACGTCGCGTCGCGTCTTCCTCATCCTCTCCCTCATACCACCACTTCCTCTCCGCTATTACCTCTTCCCCCTTTTATCTACATATCTGTGTATACTTTTGAGAGATGTCATACGTATTCAAAAGAGGTGCGCGCGCGAATATCTCGAGCTTTTCGCTCACTGTATCTAACCCCTCTGTTTCTAGACGGGTATGTGGCCTTGAGCACGCGTTGCGACGCGTCGTTACGTGCCTTTACTGATTCTGACTCTCGGCTAGGCATAAGGAGGCCGTCCAGTTTGACAAGGTCCGCATTGAAGTGCTATACGAAGCGAACGCACTCTCACTGTCTATTGCGCAGATCACGGCGAGAATCAGCAACCTCTGTTATGGTCTCGACCAAGAACATGTTGATCCCATCGCGTATGACCACTCCATGAGCTACATATTTAGCGTATTGACGTCTGGGCGTGTCAACTTAGCGTCGCGATGAACGTGATTAAGGGATTGTACCAGGGCGTCACTACAACAGAGCTCGATGTTCGTATTGTTTTTCGCGTATTTATTGCTTTACTGATATTTGCCGTAGAACCTCGCAGCTGAGACAGCGGCGAGCTTGACGACCAAGCACCCCGACTATGCTATCCTTGCCGCTCGCATTGCTGTTTCAAACCTACACAAGGAGACGAAGAAGCATTTTTCAGCAGTTATCAGCGACTTATATAACTACAGTACGGCAGATCATGCTCACTCGTCTGACGGAGTCTGACAAACGGCGCCACAGTTGATCCCAAGAACGGCCGTCCAGCGGGCATGATTGCGCAGGACGTCTACGAGATTGTGATGAAGAACGCGAAAAAACTTGACTCGGCGATCATCTACAGCCGTGACTTCCACTATAATTAGTATGAATGCTTCTACCTGCTGCCGCCACACCGCTGATTGTCCCTTGCAGCTTCGGATTCAAGACTCTCGAGCGCTCGTACCTTCTGAAGCTCAACGGTCGCACTGCGGAGCGACCACAGCACCTGCTTATGCGTGTCGCGGTTGGCATCCATAAATCTGACATTCCTCGAGTCCTGGAAACGTATGCTATGATGTCTGAGCGACTCTTTACACATGCGTCGCCAACTCTCTTCAATGCTGGACTGCCAAATGGGCAGCTGGCTTCATGCTTCCTTGTTTGCATGAAAGATGATTCAATTGAAGGTATCTATGATACGCTCAAGAACTGTGCCATGATCAGTAAGACTGCTGGTGGTATTGGTCTGAATATTCACAATATCCGTGCGACTGGGTATGTACTCGACCCGACTGATCGCTATTACGCCTATTAATACACCGCGTTGCAGGTCCTATATTGCAGGGACGAACGGCTACTCAAATGGCATTGTCCCTATGCTCCGGGTCTACGATGCGACGGCCCGCTACGTTGACCAGGGAGGCAACAAACGTCCCGGCGCGTTCGCGATCTACCTTGAGCCCTGGCACAACGACGTCTTCGAGTTCTTAGACCTGCGGAAGAATCATGGGAAAGAAGAAGTGCGCGCTCGCGATCTCTTCTACGCATTGTGGATCCCAGACCTCTTGTAAGTTGCATCGCTGGTCTGTGGCACATCCTGCTCATCACACGCCCACAGTATGAAGCGTGTTGAGGCGAATGGCAAGTGGTCCCTGTTCTGTCCCAATGAGGCGGCTGGCTTGCACGAAGTGTGGGGAGAAGACTTTGAGAAGCTTTACGAGCAATATGAGCGTGAAGGACGTGCCAGGCAGACGATTGATGCGCAGAAGCTGTGGTACGCAATCCTCGATGCCCAGATTGAGACCGGCAATCCTTTCATGTTGTACAAGGATGCCTGCAATGGTGAGCCTGCCTCACCTTTCATTTTACTGTCCGCCTAATTACATCTTGTACAGCCAAGTCAAACCAGCAGAACTTGGGCACTATCAAGTCGTCCAATCTCTGCACGGAGATTATCGAGTACTCCTCGCCTGATGAGACCGCAGTCTGTAACCTGGCATCGATTGCTTTGCCTGCATTTGTCGAAAACGGGACGTACAACTTCCAGAGGCTGCATGACGTGGCGAAGGTCGTTGCGTTCAATCTGAACCGCGTCATTGACGTCAACTATTACCCTATCCCGGAGGCCCGTCGCTCCAACATGCGCCATCGCCCTATCGGCGTCGGTGTCAATGGTCTCGCGGACGCCTTCATGGCTCTCCGTATGCCCTTCGACTCACCCGAAGCTCGGGAGCTCAACCAGAAGATCTTCGAGACAATCTACCACGCGGCTTTGGAGTCGAGTAGCGACATCGCTGAGACCGATGGACCCTACGAGACATACGCAGGCAGCCCTGCGTCGAAGGGCCAGTTGCAGTACGACATGTGGGGCGTCACTCCTTCGGACCTCTGGGACTGGGATAGTCTTAAGGCAAAAATTGCTCGCACTGGCTTGCGAAACTCGCTGCTACTTGCACCCATGCCGACTGCGTCGACAAGTCAGATTCTGGGTTACAATGAGTGTTTCGAACCATACACCAGGTATGAGTCTACTTGTGTGACACCTGCGCTGTGCTGATCGTTCGTTGTAGCAATATTTACACTCGCCGTGTGCTCGCCGGAGAATTCCAGGTCGTCTGCCCGTGGTTGCTCCGCGAGCTGGTCGACCTCAAGTTGTGGGACAACGACATGAGAGAAATGATCATCGCGAGCAACGGATCTGTACAGAGTATCCCAAGCATCCCTGACGATGTCAAGGCTATCTACAAGACAGTCTGGGAGATTAGTCAGAAGAAGATCCTGGACATGGCCGCCGACCGCGGTGCCTTCATTTGCCAAAGTCAGAGCTTGAACATCCATCTGCAATCGCCGACAATATCCCAACTGACGAGCATGCACTTCTACGGATGGAAGAAGGGTTTGAAGACCGGCATGTACTACCTGCGCACTCGGCCCGCTGCTCAGGCTATTCAGTTCACTGTGGACCAGAGCGTCCTTAAAGGCGCGAAGAAGAATGAGGCTGCTCAACGGAACGCCGCGAAGGCTAACGGTGTCGCTTCGCTAGCGCCGGCTGCCTCCGCTGCTGTGCCCCTCGATACTTCATTCCCTGTTCTAAGTGACCCTCCGACACCTATCACTACGGTGGACGACACAACTCATTCTGATCCTCCTACGCCTTCCACCACGGCTACCACGGCTTCATCTCAGCCCGAGGAAATCCTGACACTCGACGAACGGACGCAAAAGGCGGCTGAGCAAGATCCGGAGTTTGCAGCTGCGCTGCGGCGCCAGCGCCAGCGCGAGCTCGAACAGGAAAAGTTGATGTGTTCCCTGGAGAACAAGGAGGCATGTTTGATGTGTTCGAGTTGAAGGGTTTGTCTCGCGTTCTGACTTCTGTGTATCATGATCTTGTCTACTGCAATTAGTGTATCCGTTCCTCTGCTATCCTTGTATTGTCGTCACGCTAGATTCTCATGTCTGTCGGTAGCTTATGTAGAATGCGTTTGTAGTTCATAACATCGTTATTTTGATCCTTCACACCTTGCCTGCTACCAACGGTCCGGCTTCAATGAAAAATGCGATGAGGTGGTAAGGACTTGTCCATTTCCGCCCTCCCCAGGGCGGTTCCGTATGAGGGCGCGGAGCCCACTTCTAAAAGCCGCCTCCGGCTTGGTTGCACTCTACATGTACCTACGCTGTATGGAGTATAAACCCGTGGAATTTAAATTTTAAAAAAGGACTTGTCCATTCGACAGTTTCCTAACAGTAACTTATCACTTATATTTTTCATGGATGCGCAGCAGTATTACTGAGCAATTAAAAATATGCATTGATCAACAATTCCACCATACGACAAGACAACCAGAGCCACGAAAAAACCCAGTATATAATCAATCATGGTCGATCAACGAGCGATGTGCAGCAAGAGTGTCGTAGAACCCTAGCCTGCAAGGTCCACTAGGACCTCGTCCAGCTGGTCCTGCGGCCTATGCGCTGCTAATGCATTCATAAATACCGCAAAAGAGAGCGCCGATAGAAAAGAGTGTGGTCGTAAGCGATGATAACAACGCAACGTTCCCGTAATCGAGACGCTATGCGCGTCGTCGAAGGGTGATGTTGGTGGAAGCTTACTGGGGTGAGCCGTACCACCAGAGCGTAGTCACGCCGACAGGGAAAGTGTAAGTGGCCTGCATTCCACGGAATTCAATGGTCGCAGTGATGGGAGTGGGATCCCAAGAGCCATTGGGTTGGTCATCCCTGTGAGAACGATGTCAGCAGTCGAACCTCCAGTTACGCGGGCTACAAACGCACCAGTTGAGCACGACGAGACTGTAACGGGGCCAATCGCTCGAGTTGACACGGTTCGTCACGAAGCCGCTAACAATCAGGCCCCAGTTGAGGTCGCCGTTAACAGTTACCTCAATGCGCTGGCCAAAGGGACCTCCAGAGTCTTTCGGCAGGATGGCCTTGGACGCCTGGGCCGCTGAGTAGACTGCAAAGATTGAACGTCAGAAGTTGTATACAAATAACAGCGCCGGATCCCACGCACACTCCTGATTATAGTTGTACGTGCCGTTGCTGTTGACCGTCACGATCGGGCGGCACGGCGTCCCACAGCTGTCCGTTCCAGGGAGCTTGGGCTCACCGAGGCCATTGAGGGCAAGGTTCCACATCGCCCCACTCTGGCTGTAATAGTTGGGAGAGCCAATGAAGCTGGAAAGGATGTGATCAGTTCCGAGATCTACTTATAGATATGACAGATGGGGAACAATCACATGTTGTCCATGTACCACTGTCGAGGACACCGATCAGTTGATAGGAACCGGGGGGACATCTTTCATCAAACCGACCTTAATGTCACTCCACCAGTCGCTGCCAAATTCGCCCGTGCACTCCGTGAAGTAGATGTTCTTGTTCGGGTACGCGTTGTAGAACGTCTGCTGGTCACTGACGCTACCTGCATAGCAATGGAAGGAGACACCAGCGAACGCGCTCTCCGCATCTTGCATCTATGATGGCCAGCAAACTCAGTCAGACATACTGACAGCGGAACCAGTATTTTGCTCACCAGCGTGACGGGATACTCTCCAGCGTCGTTCCAGTTGTGCTCGTATCCGATGATGATGGTGTCAGAGAACCCATTGCTATCCATCAGAGAGCGCAGCTGGGTGCCGATCGCAGCTTCCTGCGAGGCAGAGATGGAGCAGGTCGGGTACGTTGTGTCGCTGTTCTGGGGCTCGTTCTGGATGCCGATGGCGTACACGCTGAAGCCCAGGCTCTGGTAACCCTGCAGGGACTTCAGGAGATAGCTAGCGTCTGGTGGGACTCACTTAAAGATCGTCATGTCATACGAGTAATGGTTACTTACAGGTGTCCGTATATTGCGAAAGGAACGAGCCACCGAGCATCGTCCCGCTGTCCTTCATCCAGCCAGGCTGACACGACCAATCAGAGAATAGTCCGACAACAGTGATTTGTGATAGTTACAGGAGACCAAGGCAAGATGTGGATTTTGAGCAGGCTGTTAATGCCAACAATGTCCTTAAGTGTATCGTACAGATACGACGGCGCATTGTTAATGTTGAAGTCGTCGAGGTTTGTGTCCCCACTCGTATCGTCGAAGCTATATGCTATTTTGGCCGATCGTGAGTGTGCGAGACCACTTTAGGAATGCTGCGACATACTGTTTGCGGAGAAGTCCGAGGCGCCAAGAGGCACTCGGATGTACGTGAGGCCTGCCGCGTCGGCACCGTCTGTGGCTGTAGAAAATTGTCAGAGTCTAACTCTATTCTAGGGTGAACAACACATACGATCAAACATATAATTCAAGATATCCCAATAATTGTCGGAGTTGGTGGACTAAGCGAGGTGTGTTGGCTGCATGTTACCAATGATCATGAGGCAACGCTGTACTGCACCTTTAATTCGCTCAAAACCTGTGCTGAGGCGTCGGCTGAAACAGTGCGCAGAGATCGTCAGAAACTGATGCACTTCATGCACAACAAAAGAGAGATTGAACTCACTCAACGAAGCTCCGAATCCAATCATGTCCTGATACACCGTGCCATCATTCACAACTATGTCAGCCGAACCCGTAGCACCCGGTGTCACAAAGTCAATCGGATTAGGGCTCAGGTTGGTGTATGTGAACAGGTCGCTTCGGTCCCATGTTGTCGACCACTGCAAGCTGAACAGTGAGCGTCCGCGTGCAAGAAATGAAAGAGCATGCGTACGACATCGTAAATCTGCTGGGCGGTAACGGCCGAAGTGAGAGCAAGGCACGAGGCGACCGCCTGGAAATACATAGCGGGTATAGGGCGGCCCTGAAGAAGGACAGGAAAGGACAGGAAGGAACGAAAGGCCTGAAGGCAAATGGGCAGGAACGAGATGCAGCATCTTGAGGAGGCGAGGGGTCTTTATACCTCCCGGCGTCCGGCAGGGGCACCGCGTGGTCGACGGAGGACTGACAACAAAGCAAGATCGAGGTTTGGGCAGCAGCGTTCCACTTGACTACGCAGCAGAATTTTCCCAAAATGGCAGCCAGGCCCAATTCTTGATCGAGTGCCACCGCGCGCTCTCGGATTGATCAGGTTTCGCACGCGGCAGGCTGTGTCTGCTGCAGTGAGACGCGCCATTCTGGCGGACCACAAAGACATGAATGTTATTGTCACCGGGCCCTGCTAGACATAGCGTCCTCAGTGAGACAGCAGAAACAGCTTGACGCGATGTGCTCAATACAAGCATTCCCGTGATGCGCGCGGAATGTTCGCCACCCTCGTGCCGGGTGTCTGCATGCACAGGTCCAAAGGCGTTCCGCCGACTGAGGTCTAGAACGGATCAGAAGATACGACTGGTCCCGACCATCTGCGGCCCCGGACGTGCTCGAGCGCGCGCCCGTGGCCAGTCGGCGAGCCTCCGGCATGGTATCGATGGAAACTAAAGCCGAAAAGGCTCAGCGTGGAGCACAGATTTTCGAAGTTCCAGGGCCGCGATTGGGCCAAAGAGGAGGAGCGCCACACCTTTGGGTTCGAGGGGCCCTCCGCTACGGATGCAGACACGCTCTTACCTGATGGATCCCGTCGAATGGGAAACGATAAGATACGAAGGGAGCATTCCATTTTCAGAGACCAGTGGTGGCGTAAGGCGAGAGTGCAACGCGAATACTCAAAGCAGCTAGTCGAGAGGCGGCTTGTGGAAAGCTCAACCGACGGTGTCAATGCGGTGTGCGAGAGTGCACACGTTGTTGAGGCTGGACACGTGTCCACTATGCCGCCGGAGATGAACTCAAAAGTCCTGGTCAAAGTATTGTGTGTCAAGGGAGCGAGGCCTGGAGGTAATGCTGCACAACGTGCTCATTTCCGAGACGTAGCAGCCCACAGGTGCTGAGCGCTGAACAGGCAAGAGAGCGGAGAATGCCCGCAGAACAGAGACGGCCAGCCACCGCGTTCAGGCAGGGTCGTTACGTTTTCCCACACGCGTGTCGTACGCGGTGGCCACGTGACCGTTCAACGCAAGTCTCCCGCCGTCCGCCGCTCGCATCGAGCACAACTCTCGCAGCAACCACCACGACCAGCGTGCTCTTCAGTGATAAATACAGACCTTCATAGCTTGCTCAGCGCGCGACCACGCGTTCACTCTGACTTCTGGCTGGCACACGCATGTGCTGCGTACCTGACAGATCTGCCTTCTCATCTGAGTCTCCTTCTGCCGACATATCTGCAGACTATCGCCTACTGTGCCTATCTTCCGACGACTTCGACGTGCCAAATATACTAGCCTCAAGCCGCCTAGCGTCTGAATCCACATGCCCGAAACTCAACATGACTACCCTGACGTTGTCGCGAATTACTTGCTGCAGGAATGTCTCGGGTCCGGATTTTCAGGTGAGTTTCTGGCATGAACTCTCGTACACACGCATGACCCACTCGACCGGCATGTTGTATCATAGGCTCCATCTTTCGCGGTGTCAACGTTTACAACGGCCAACAAGCTGCTGTCAAACTTCAGCCCGTAGATGTAGACTGTCCCACTAATATGTTCGAGCGCAACTTCTACCCTGCCATTCAGGGAGGCATGGGTATACCAAGTCTACACGCATGTGGTGTGCAAGGCAAATATGATTACCTTGTAATCGATCTGCTAGGCCCCAGTCTTGATTCACTCTTCCGCAAGAGTGGCAAGGATGTCATGGACCTACGGAGCGTATGCTGTATCGCAATGCAAGTGGTCAGTCACCCTTTCATTACCAACGTCGTTGATCTTTGCCAAACCTTCTCCGCTCCCTCTTGCACTATGCATCCATTCCTACTTCAAGATCTCCCGATTAGAGCACATGCACGGCAAGGGCGTCCTGCACCGAGATATCCAGCTCGGGAACTGTGTAGTCGGACTAGGCTCCAACAAATGGCTCATCTACATGATTGATTTTGGGTTTTCCAAATTCTTCATCGATCAGACTACCAGACGACACATACCTGATAGCAAGGAGCCGCGCGACTTCATTGGGAACTACTGGTTCACCTCTGTGGGTGTTCATTGTAAGGGAAAAGGTGCGTCTACGCTCCGTGCAGTCGGATCCTCAAAAGGCCTAATTTTGCTTGCTGCGCAAAAGTGCCCTCAAGGCGCGATGATATGGAGGCGGTGGCGCTCATGCTCATTCATCTGTTGACGCCTGGTGGACTCAGCTGGACACGTAACGGCGTCCCCAGGACTGACGCCGAACACGACCGCTTAATCCGTGAGAAGCGCAAGGCCCGACCGGAAGACCTCTGCCGTGGGCTGCCCGCAGAGTTCGAGGAGTTCCTGCGGTACTGCAGGCGGCTGAAATTCGAGGCGTGCCCGGACTATAACTATTGGGTGAACGAGTTCCGAGAGCTGCTCGGAGAGAATGGCTACCCTACTTCCTCCAGATTCGTCTGGCCGCCACTTGATCCTAAGGTATGTTGTGTGAAACTCGAACCGCTGATCTTTATAGTATTGTCATCTGACATACCCGAATTCAATAGCCTGCGGGGCGCACTATGCCGCCAGCACGACGACCGCCAGCAAATGACACCGACATGGTGGGCATTCTGAATGAACTTGCCAATCTCCAGATAGGGGAGCGACCGGTGCTCGCAAATCGCAACGCAATGGTGAACGGCGTCCGTGTCAATGCCGCAGAGGGCAAGAAGTCAAATACTACTGAGACGACGATCGTGCTCAGCAGCGGCGACGAGAATACACAGGGCAAGGGGTCCGCACAACTCCCAAAGGCCGCACACCTGGCGAAATTGAGGCGCACAGTATCGCAAGTGACAAATAACGAGGCCCTCGCGGAAGTTGTCGACGAGTTCGTGCAGGTCCTGCAGACACACCGCTCGCGGACGCTGACGAAGGAGGCTTTTGCCTTCTTGGACGCGCTGTACAAGCAGCTCGCGGACCCGTCCGTGTATGTCCGGCCAATGCGCACGTCACTGCCGCGGGATAGCGCTGAGGCAAGGGAAAATGCGCCGGTGCAGCGACGCTATGCCAAACAGAACAAGCTGTGGCTCCTCCGGCGGGACGTGGCCCGCGCGCGGAACAATCAGGCCATCGCGCAGATGGTGGTCGAGTTTGGGGCCACCATAAATAAAAGCAGCGGGCGAACGATCACGAAGGATGCATTTGCCTTCCTGGACGGTTTGAGCGAACGACTGCGGACATTGGCCTAGGCCGTGCTTTGTATTCCAGATGGACAAATGAACCAGTATTTAACGCCTATTAGACCCATTGCATATATTATAGCGAGCAGAACCTACTTCTTGGTGTCTCATAGTGTTTGTACTTATCAGAAACGCCGATATAGGTGGTAGCGGCCGTATACACGAGCTACCCCAACACGCGATTGGGGGAGAAGAGTGAAGTAAATCCGAATTGTTGGTCTACCATCTCTGTTCCTCGGCACTAGTACTGGGCTCTCTCCATCCTCGCGTTGACAAATTGACATCGTGGTCTGGGTCTTCGGCATGTCTTCGGCAATGAGCAGTCGGGGACTTGGTCCCAATGCCGCGGAAATTGAGCCGCTGCGAAATCTGCGCGACCTGTTCACTGTCGATACCAGTACAGATCTCCAAATGTACGGTTGAAACGTGAGACGGATCCTGCAAAGGCCGCGCAGTAAGCAGATCGTTGGGCCAGTTCCGCACGTGCTACATCGCGATGTGGAACATCCCGGTAACAAAGAGCACCATTTCACAGAGATTGATGCAGCTCGATGTGTCGAAATGGATGGGGATCATTGAGTAATGATCACTATAAACCCTGTTTGGATACAACCGAGCGAACCGAGTCTCGACCCGGCGTTCCAACACGGGACCCAGAGCGCCCTGCAGCACACGAGCATGGGCACCATAATTATAGCGAGCGGGCGGCACAAACGTGCGGGACAGCATTGGCACGTATATTTAATATAGAGCGCTTGAGAGGACGGATCTCAATACCGATAGACCTCCTTGGGAGAACTTACAAAACGACTGCAGTGGAGAGACGAGGACCACCTCTCCGAAGACACGCCGCCAGCTCTACAAAGCAAAGGAGGAGGAATCGATGAGCCGTATTGCGAGATGACCACAGTTGTTATGTGATAACGCAACGAGGTCACTGAAAGCCCAAGGGCTCGACGGTAGGTTCTGAGCTGCTGCCACCTACTACTGTGTCTTCTGCCTCACGCATGCCCCAAAGTGTGATTTGCAAGGGGGGCTTATCGCTATTGGAAGCGCTGCAGAGCCATGCAAAGGACCGAGTCAGCGGTCTAATATCTATGTAAGTGCATGAGTACTTCTCTTTCTGCGCACGTCGACATTCTCACCACTAGAACTGACACGGCCATTGCATTGTCTGACTCTCAAATGCCGGACTTGAGTAGATAGTTCGCAGACACAATCACGGCACGGAAACGCCTACGCGTGCCCCCCATCGGCGGTGCTTCTCTGCAGACAGTACATGCGCTGGTTATTGTTGCATATATGGCCGTCGCATTCGAAAGTGCTACCGTGGGTCGAGTATCGTGGTTGATTCGGGCCTTACTTCAGCAGATCATCATTGTTAGATATTGAAAAGTATGGGTAGTAGAGCTTACAATCTATTGTGACGATCTGCCACCACAAGGTAACAACGATTTGTTGCGTTCCACTCCGGCAATCATGATCATGCGCACTATACATGCACATCACTTTTGACATCATATATGACTGCAGAATCAATAACGATACACCTCTCCTCGCAAATCATACTTTGGGGCAAGGTGGGGCGGAAGCTCGCGACAGGGGTCGGCAGTGGCGCAGAGACGTCGGTGGATGGCCGATCAAAGATAGGCTGCCAAGTGAGAATAATGAGGTAGATGTTTACTGTAATCCCCTCTCCCCTCGCCGTCATGGTCAGTAATCGACAATAAATCTATCCCGCGCTGAAGGGACTTAGCTCAGTGCCTAACGGCCAGATTGAGGAAGCTACTGGTATCGTGTCATGTGGTGCTGAGTTTATCGCTGTCTGACATTGCTTCCGGAAGGAGAGAGCGACGGGGCAGGCCTCGACAAACGGACAAAAATTGAGACATTGGCGCGGCTGCCGCGAACAACCTCTGAGGGATGAGGGCATGTTACCCCGAGGTGCCGAACGCCGCTATGCTCCATGCCACCTATCTGTAACTCCTGCGAGGGAGGTCTATCGCTACTGATTCTGCCGCCGCACGTTTGACGCGTTAGCGAGTGTCCACAGTTCCTAATCGCATCTATAAGACTAGATGAAGTTGGGATCGATGTTAGCCTAGACACCACGCTTGCACTCAGCATGTTCTACAATTAACGATGGCGTGTTCAAAGCAGATTTGTCGACGCAGCACCCTTTGAGAATGACGATGATGCGCCTCAAGTGTCACAGAAGAGGGAAACATTCAGCCGTTACAGCAAGACCGCGGCCCGCGGAGCTATGGAACAAGACCAAGAAGTCAAGGCTTAGAAGCATGGTCACGTACTCCACGAGACCCGTGCTCCAGCTTACGAAGGAAGATACGGTACCGATAGTGGCAGTGTCATGGTTGTCCGCCTTGCCGGAGACATACATGTGATACCCGTAGGTAGTGCGGACCCTGTGCATGCAGCTGAGAAGTGCAAGGCAGATCACCCACATGGAGCTATTCGTCAGCATACAGTTGAACTCGTGCGCCCCTTGTGGACGTCCCGCATTGCTGAGAGTCGCTCGCAGTGTGATTCGTTCACGTGAGACGAGTTCCTAGATATCCAGACATACACCGAGGCAGGGAAGGTGAAACAGTGAGGAATCCGCCAGAGTTCTATGCGGACATGAGCACTGTTTGCACTACAACAATGGAAGGACGTCATAATCGCAATGATGGAACGGACAGACCGCAGCGTAGAAGGGCCCAGTCGAGAATCAATCAACGTAAGTTGGGACGCACGAAGTCCGATGCATGTTCTGATATTTCAAAATTGGGCAAAATCAGGCAACTCTTCGGCTGCGACTAAACGTAGAGGGTGGCGTGACTGCCCACCATGATCATAGAAATGCGGGAGCGAATGGTGTAACTGACAGCCATGATCCTACAAGCGCGGGGGCTAGATGCCTGTGAACATCTGCGTGGGATGTCATTCGTGACCGCGGGCCAGATCCGCGATGAAAAAAACACAAGTATCAAGACCTGAGCTCTCGGGGAGACACGGGACGAACATCGGTTAGCCACTGCGCACATTTACACTGTCACAGATGCCTGCAGCCGCTCGATAAGAAGTCGCCGTCCACAGGTGATAGCAACGTGTTCTCCGGGTGACGACGGGCAAGAGCATTTGGAAGTTATCAAGGAAGAGGAGGCAATTGGGTAGATATTCGAAGAGAGGAAGATCACGGAGACACAGAAAAGCCTTGTTTATCTGTCAAAGGCCACCGCGGTGGTGTCTCACGCTGAGCCACAAAGGGATCAAACGTTGTGTACGGCGTTGATGTAGGAATTGCGCTAGTCGGGACAACAAATAAGGACGACAGCAGAGAGCTCGAATCGGTCGAGAAGAGGGCGAGAACAGAGACGGGCAGCGTAGAGACCGGTCGAGGAGAGAGCAAAGACGAGTGCGCGCCAAGTTGCCCCAACGAGCGGAGCAGTCGGCAAGCGCCGGCAATAATCCCACTGCTATAAATCTCTTCTCTCCCGACTTTTTCTCCGCCTCTCGTCCCTCCCCCTCCTCGACGGCAGGTGCTTGTCTTTCCGACACTCTATCCAAAATGGCCAAGGTCACTTCCGACACGAGAACCACCATCGAGCAGGCCCCCTTCCTCATCCCCGACCTCACAATAAAAGACTTGCTTTCGGCTATTCCGTATGTGCATTGCTGGCATGTGCCAACGCATCAATTCTGATTGGTCGTGCTTCCAGGGCCCACTGCTACAAGCGGTCCGCCCTCAGGTCCTTAAGCTATGTGTGAGTACACGTCCCATTGCACCATGTCGTGGACTGACGAAGCATTGCAGAGTGTACGACATGTTCCTCGTCGCCTGTATCTACAAGCTTGCTGTCTTCCTCGATGCGCGCATCACGCCTGAGTATGTCAGTCTGTCAAGCCCTTACCTGTACACATTCGCCCGCGTCGCGCTCTGGTCGCTGTACGGCTTCGCCAATGGCCTCATCGGCACCGGCCTTTGGGTCCTCGCGCACGAATGTGGTCACCAGGCGTTCTCGGAGTCCAAGGCCCTCAACAATGCGGTCGGTTGGGTCCTTCACTCTGCGTGCGTATCTTCCGCCCGCGTTGCCCTGGGTTCGCGTACTGAGACGCGTTCGTAATGATTACGGCGTAATATAGACTCGGCGTTCCTTATCACTCCTGGAGGATTACGCACGCGAAGCACCATGCCTCTACAGGCCACATGACTCAGGACCAAGTATTTGTGCCCAGAACGCGTTCGCAGGTTGGCTTGCCTGCCTTCAATCCCGAGAAGGAAGACCTGTACGGTGCGAGCGTCTCGGACGAGATCAAGAAGGAGTTCGTGGAGGCGCTCGGTGACTCTCCCATTGGAGCCGCGTTGGGAGCTGCGAGCTACCTGGTTTGTACCCTGTTTCCTGGAGCTTATTCTTACCTCCGTTCATGCCAAATTAATCACAGCTCGTTGGATGGTGGGCGTACATCGTGAGAAACGCATCAGGACAGAAGCGTTACCCCAAAGGCACCAACCGTAAGCGCTCTAATTCGATATGTAGCAACTGTAGTGTTCAATGGTTCCACTATTCTAGACTTCAACCCATCTGCTGTGATGTTTGCGCCCCATCACCGTGACCAGATCTTGATTTCCGACCTTGGTATTGTCCTCTGGCTTGGTGCCGTTCTTGCCGCCATCCATTACCGTGGCTTCGCCGAGGTTTTCCGTGTCTACCTTGTTCCTTATGTCTGGTGAGGCCAACTGCTGCTACTGTGATGTTCGTCCCTCACCTTGCGGATTCCGTAGGGTGAACCACTGGCTTGTGCTCATCACTTTCCTCCAACATACTGACCCCGTGCTTCCTCACTACCGCGCTCCTGAGTTCACCTTCCCTCGTGGTGCCCTTGCAACGCTCGACCGCAACCTTCTTGGTGACTGTGGAAAGATCATGGGCTGGCTCGGCGCTCACCTTACACACGGTATCTCTGAGACACACGTTGCGCACCATGTGGCGAGTAAGATCCCTCATTACAACGCGTATGTATTGAACCACTTGTCACTGGATGGACCTGTACTCATTGGTGCCTGGTCGTAGATGGGAGGCATCCGATGCACTTCACAAGAGACTGTCGCAGGCTGGTCTGGTCCGTCTGCAGGGTCGTCCAGGCGGCTGGTCAGAGATGTACCGCGTGTTCAAGGAGTGCAAGGTCGGTGTACGTTTACCGAATTGTGTTCAGAGACTGATATTTTCCTCTAGTTCGTCGAGGATGAGGGCAATATCGTCTTCTACAAGAATTCGGAGGGCCTTGCCAAGACGCGCCCTGTGTTCAACGACAACAACGTGAGCGACTCGGGTATCGAGTTCGAAAAGGATGCATAGATCGTCTCTTTTGTCGCATCCTGTTTCGCTGCCGTTGTGTCATCATCACCGCTCTTGTATTTGTTATGCGTAGACGTCTCTTCGCCGCCTGCGCTGTGGGGCCGTGGGACGGTTCCAGGGAACCCCTAGCGGAGCGCCGCGGTCAAGGGAGAGTAATACGGGAAAAGGTGTTCTCTTGGGGTCACGGACCTGCTCAGTGGGTGGATACTGCTATGGATAGAGTATAGAGCAGACGTCCAATACGGGAGTGCATTGCTTTGGACACGCGTGGGATGAGGTGAACAGGACAATATTGGTAACTTTTGTTTGTTTGTCTAAAATGTCTCTGTTCTGAGGATAGGGAGAAACTGCGGCTGTCGTTTCTACCCTAACTTGTGAGCTACGACTGCGTCCTTCCGATATCTGCCTACAATTGCACTTAGACCTAGTACTAGTGAGACAAGACGATGTTACAAAAACGCCAAGATTTTTGCTCCCAACATACGTACATCTGGCAGTAGCAGACCAATTAGTATGCTGTTGGGGACATCTGTTCAATGAAACACTTTCTTCTGGGCAAGTTGAGTCTGAAGCTACTCACCGCTCCCTGCAAGCTTAGTCGGTGCCTGCTGCTGCAGCCGGCATCTCGTCGCGCGCCTCCTGCCTCCCTTCTTCGCGGACTCCGCGATGCACAGTGAGGAAGCCATTGATGATCTTCCAGTCCTCACTGAGTATAACATCAGAGTCGATTTCGCACAGCGCGGGGAAAATCTTGGCCAGGAAAGCCGCGATCTCGCTGAGGGAGCCGGACGTGGTCGAAGGTCCGATATTAATGTAGTCGAGGTTCTGGGGTAGACATTCTCGCTTCGTATTCGGCAGCACGGCAGGGATCTTATTCCCGTCCGCGTGAAAGACTAACTTGAGGCACTCGAGGTGCGGGCAGTGGAACGCGAACGCTTGGAGAGGACGCAATGTGGCTCGTATAATGAAGTCCGCATCATCGGCATCTTCTGGTATCAAAATTAGCCTCCTAAGATTTGGCCATGAGGAAGCCATGTCTATCAGAATCTCGTCATCGTACTCCGCTATCCAGCATGCGACTATAAGGACCTCCTCGAGTTTGTGAAAGTCGAGGAGAGGCTTTATATAAGTCGAGCGTAGGGTAATGCGTTGTCTGTACACGTCACCCAGGACGGTCAAGTCAGAGTCGATTGTGAGAGAAGAGAGCTGGAGGGGTGAGAACTGGGAGCGGATTGCCTGGAAAAGCTCCCTGATGTCGCGGTTTTCGGGAAGTGAACCCCACGTAATACGGACCGATCTCACATACGGTAGCTTGACAGAAGACGCGGACATGACATATCCGGCCAAATTGTCGTGATGGATCGCCAAGGTCCGGAGTGCTACGAAATCCGTGTCGCACATAGGAGGGACCGGACGAGTCTTGGAAAATTTGAGAGATAAGTCATGTAGGTAGGACCACTTGCCGAGACGGGACAGCGCAGACGAGGTTAAGGAAATACCACCATAGGAGAGCGTTGCAGGCGAGTATGAATGTTCACCACCACAGCGAAGAATTCGTAGACTCTTCAACTCGCCGATGACAGAAGATACATGTTCGGACACATCTTCAGTCCGCTTTTGATCGGAATTCTCAAAGACCAGCTCCTCAATTAAAGGGCAATCGGCCTTCACTTTGTTGAGGATTCCGATCAACGGGCGGTGATCCTCGTCGAGTTCTGTGATCACGACCCGCCAAAGTTTGGGTCCGATGAACAACGGCATATCCACCCAATCATTGCAATCCTTGGCGCAAGTCGACGAGCAAGAGTGCAATGGCCAATCAAGGGCGATAAGCGCTGGAAAAAGGACGATGGAGGGACATTGTTCTGCAATGGCCTTCAGTGTCTCGGATGAGACTGCCAAATTTTCAGGACGGGTGCCGAATGAAAAGTATAACCAGGACTTCTCCAGGTGCTTCACAAGCGGTGCATACTTCATAACCGCAGCGAAATCATTTGGGACCAGGGGCCTTTGCAGATGCTATGAAATCCATATATCAGCGGTACTGTATTTGCTGAGGTAACTGAAACTCACGTAAAGTCGCACTGTCTCCGAGTCAGTGAGAGCATCCCAAGCTCCGGCATCAGCAGGTAGTAACTTGACGATATGAACGACATTCGAGGTCTCCCACATAGCCTCAATCGCAGGTATGTGAAGTGCTCTGCAACTCCTCGCGAGAGCGGCCGCTTCTTTTCGGTCATTTTTCACTAGATATTGACAGATACGTGCGACGATTTCGTCGATGAGGAGCACTCGATGCATTTGAAAGGACTGATAGTTTGTGCCAAGTTGATGATTACCGTTTGTCTGGGCACTGGTCCCGTGCCGCGCAATCATGTATTGCCGTTTTCAGACATGTCGAGCGTGTCAAACACAAACAAATTCTCGTCTATTAGCGAACTCCTACACTGAGGGCACGAATATCTCGATGACCTAGCGTATCGTCTTGATTTCTGACACCCCTTTTAGAGTGGACGCGTTCCTGCTTGAGAACACGCAGTCAGGAATTTGTCAGATGGGTGTCCCTGGAGTTGAAGGGGAAGGAGGTCAGAGGCCTGATTGAGCAAGTAGCGGAAAACCTCTGTCCATAGAACAGACAATACACTGAGTTCACCCACAACCAGATTGCCCACACGGCAACGTTATGACAGGATAGGACACATTGCGGTGCGTATAATTCACATAGGTATTGGTTGGCAAGCTCGAGACGGGCCCCCATTAACTTACAATCGGTGATTCTGAGCGAAGACCTCGCACTCCTCCCACAAGCGGAGATTGAGTTAGGCCCGTCGCGGCTTGTTCCATCCACCCACAATCCCAAGCGAGATCTTCGCTAGGGTGCAGATGAAACACCACGCGGTGCCTATGAGTAATCCGTTAAGGTCGCGCCGACCTGCAAGGATGTCGTTGAGGGTGGTTGCAGAAATTATTGGTGGTGCCCAGTAGCAGATCCGAGTAACTCAGAACACTTCTCAAGAACGAAGTGGACCTCCACTCCAATCGGCGTCATCTAATGTTTATACAAAGTATTTCGCTTAATCACGCTCCATATCCTCATGTCGGATAAGACACGGCCCTCCTACGGGTCTTGAGACATAGGAACGCCCAGTTCGCCTATATGATACAGAATCGCAACAGACGGCCCTCCAGGACAGTATTACAGTCGCTGCCACGCAGACGCTCCGGTTCTACACCCCCAAGACGTGAGTAAGTAAGAGTTAGACAGGAGCTGATATGCAGCATATAATTGGAGCTCGTATCACCATCTAGTTGAATGCAGTCGCGATCGAGCAATCTCCCCTTCTTTGCGCTGGCCACATCTATTTGTCATACAACGAGCTTCACGAAAGCTGGCAACTCACCTCTGAGTGCTACGTATCATCACCTGAAAAGGGGCATGAATGTACGTGAAGTCCGCCACGACGCTGCTACCAAGCTTTAGGGATGATGGACCTTAAATTCTAAGAGTCCTTCAGCATCGAGATGGGGAAGGAGCGCTTGGATGTATGTGCAGCCCAAAGACACGGAGCTCGAGAAGCGGACACCGAAAGTCACTCTCTGCAATGCTGGGAAGACGGCCCTAGATAAGAGTGGTTCCAACGCGCGAAGAAGTTCTGTGGTGTCTTCCGACGGACTGGTTGAGAAGTCCATAAACTTGATCACGCGAATTTTCGCAGGCCGGACCTGCGACAAGAATCGTGGTGTCCAATACTTGTCGTACGTCCAGAACTCCATGGAAGTGATGCTCGGATTGTCCTTTTTGCCGAACGCTAGTGGACGTGGCAGCCAGCGGAAGGTCAGACACTAGAAGTTGGCTGTCTGTGCCTTATGGACGCACCCGTGTTACCATCATACCAGTACCGGTGACACAGACGAAGACATGTCAGCGACGGGGCTGCATCCTGCAGCAAGGCGGCCAGTGCCCTTGGGTCGCCCCTTATGGTGCGGTCGCGTTTATTCCATGAGACGGTATCAATCGCCCGGTGATACCAGTCACGCTCTCTCTGGGCCGGTGGCGTGAACGTGATGCGGAGCGGTCGCATGATCCGCTGCATAGCAGATGCAGAGGATATCTCCTTGCCTTCTGGATGGATGAAGAGCTCTTCCTCGATCGACAGCGTACGCAAATTAGAGAACGCGCGAATGAGCCGCGTGAAAGCGTCAGGTGTTGCACCCATCAGCGTCCCCACTGCCAGGAATTGCACGGATGGCGAGAGCAGCGCCAGCGCATCCAGCGTGGACGGCGTGAGGACATGCACTTTGAGGCAGAGATTGGTCACCTGCGGGAACTGGGCGAGGATGAACACCAGAGTTTTGTGCTGCTGCTGCTGCCAATGCGCGGACCAGGATTCGAAGTCATTGAATGTGAGATATCTGACGTAGGTCCCGATTTGCTTATTTGCAAGCAGCAGGCTGTGTGCACGGCGAAGGTTGCGATTGTTGACGCAGAACCAGCGGAAGAGCATAGGGCGGAATGCGGCTTCCCATGCGCGACAGGTCAGGCTACAGTTAGACAAGGTATGTCGGCTGTCGATATATTTTGCGATTTCCTCCCACAGCTCCTGCGGCAGCCAAAGAGGACTATGAGAACTGGGACGCGTCACTGGCCTGCGGAAAACCCGAATGCGACATTTCGATGCCGTGCGCGATAGTATCAGCCTAATGTCGTCCATCGTAATCTGTGCTGCAGAGCAGTCAATGCATGCGCACGTTGGACACACCTCGCAGGAGTGGAAGAAATCTGCTGACCTGCGCTATGTACAACGGCTGGAAGGAATACACAAGGGACACTGGAAGACCGACAACCCGCTACGCCAGGCGCGGCGATTGGGCGCAGTTTTGCTAACGACACTATCGGCGGCAATCCGTCAAATGCAATACCGTACACTTGACTGTCTACGGGAGACTGGCACGATGCCGCGTGCAGGTGGACAACACGATCTCGGGCCACGATCCGCCGTGCGAAGCAGCTTACACGGTACCGAGATATTCGAAAGTATACGGGCACACGCAGCAGCCTTTTTTGCAGTCGCGGGGAGGTTCTGAAACGTAGAGGCTTGGCCGAATGTTGAGCCGAGTGCTCCGCACCCAGCAAACTCTGACAGCTTAATCCCATACTCAATTGCCGTCGTAAGCAATACCCTGACGCTGACAACTCGCTCCATCGCTGCCTGAGAGTCTCTTGGATTCTGTAGGAAGACATCGGCGAATGCAACGAAGAAACTCTCAAGCGATTAATGCACAGACGCCGAATGCGTCCGTAGCACAGTGCAGCAGATTAAATTTTCTATCGCAGCGGACCAGTCGCAGATACGGCTGATGAACGCTGTGACGTCGAATACGCATGCGCGCGCAATTTGCTATTGCTGAGTGTCTCTTACTGTGGCTTGCCTTCGCCTTCCAGAATCAGCTATAAGATCCGTCCAGTCTAGGCCGGCTTCCTCAATTCTGCGAGCTCGGCGAACCGTGGTTGAAGGAGAACAGGTCGATGAGTGGCTGGGCAAGACGGACAGGAACGAGTCCTATACGGGAGCACAGGATACTTGTGGGAGGCAGCCTGGAGGCGACGAGATGGTCGAGTCTAGACCATGGGCGCTCCGAGGGGGGAGAGAGGCACAAGGTGGTCCGCATTAACGCAGCTTGTGTGAGGTGGGCGAGGGCATTATCAGGCTGAAAAAGCCGGCGTATGTGTTGGTGTAGGTTTACCGTCTGGCTGACTTGATATTCCAGACAATGCTCGCTCGATAACATTCCCCATCGGAATTTGATCGGGAAGATAACAGGCACTTAATTTGATGTCAGCATCTTATCTGAGCAGGAATTTGAAGGTGGCGCATCGACGTCAGACTACGAACTGGCCGCTGTGCGAGGCCCATCCAGCCGGCGTCATGGCCTTGGCCTATCCCCTCCGCGCCCACTTCCTATATAACCCGTCTCCGCCGCACGTACCATCCACCAACAATTTTCCCATCTTCACAACACAACCCCTCCACCAGAATGTCGACTGCCGCTGTAGCGCAGCTCCAGGCTGAGGTCAACCGCCTCCGACACGAGCTCTCCACCGTAAAGGCCCATGAGCAGTCTCCCGAATCTGGCGAGCAGATCTTTGTCGGACAGTATCTTGTCGAAAGGCTTGTGCAGCTCGGCGTCACGGTACGTCTCTTCTGCCACCCTCAGCTCATGGAGGTCTCTTGACCATTCCATTGCAGAAAATGTTCGGAGTTCCAGGAGATTTCAATCTTGGTGAGTCGGCCCGGCAGTTGCTCTACCCGTTGTGCACGTCTCATCCTAATTTGCAGGCTTCCTTGTACGTACATCTATGACCAGGCTCATACCTGTTCGGGTCTGACTCGTGCTGCTAGGACTTTGTCGAAGATCACCCCAAAATAGATTGGGTCGGCAACTGGTAAGTCTGCACGTATACCGAGCGCGCATATATGTACCCATACTCGCGTCCGTTCATCTAGCAATGAACTCAACGCTGCATACGCGGCTGATGGCTATGCGCGCGTGAAGGAAACAAGTCTTGGTGTCGTCCTTACAACGTACGTGCATCTCGTCTCCTGGACATGTCGATTGCTCATATATGCGCAGCTTCGGCGTTGGTGAACTGAGTGCGATAAATGGTATTGCCGGAGGTAAGCTGCTGTATGACCATGTGTGTATTTGAAGCAGATACTCATCGTACATTGCGCAGCGTTCTCCGAACATGTCCCTGTATTGCATATCGTTGGTGTCCCCAGTACTTCTCAGCAGAAGAACAAGCCCATGCTCCATCACACTCTCGGTGATGGACGGTAAGCTCGTCCTCGCCGTCGTGAGACCCGCAATCTGATCATTCTACCATTCGACCCAGGTTCGACGCGTACTACCGGGCCGCTGAGCAAGTCACAATCTCTGCGGCAAGTCTGGAGTCAAAGGACACCGCTGCTGCTCAGATCGACCGAATTCTTACAGACTGTTTGGTCATGGTATGTCACCGGTCCTTGACACATCAACAGCACTGATGTGGTGGTTACAGGCGCGCCCCGTGTACCTCATGCTGCCAACCGATCTCGCATACGAGCGCATACCCTCGTATCGTCTGAAGACCCCAATCAACTCTAACCCGCCGGACAACGACCCTGACGTGGAGCAGTTCGCTCTCGACGAAATTGTGAAGCTCGTCCAGGAGGCGGACGAGGACGTGATCATCCTCGCCGACGCGTGCGCTATCCGGCATGGGGTGAAGCAGGAGATCGCTGAGCTCGTGAAGCGCACGGGATTCCCCGTGTACGCCGCCCCAATGGGCAAGACCGCCGTCGACGAGAGCTACGAGCGGTACGGCGGCGTACGTCACATCATCCGTTGCGCATGTTAGGCCCCGCTGACGACATTGTGACAGATCTACGTCGGCTCGATCAGCCATCCAGATATCAAGGAAAAGGTTGAGAGCGCGAAGCTCATTCTGTCTATCGGTGCTCTGAAGAGTGACTTCAATACTGGCAACTTCACCTACCACATCCCCGCATCGCGTACGATCGAGGTGCGCGTTCATCAGAAGTAGGTTGGTGGACCCGCTAATATAGGGCATAGCTGCACTCCGATCATATACGTGTGCAATTTGCAATGTTCCCGGGCATCGGCATGAAGCGTCTTCTACCGAAGCTGACCACCCGCCTGCAGCCATTCCACGAGGGCGCGAAGCAGATCTCGGTGCCCCCGTTCGTGTTCCCGGTGCCGCAGGAAGACAACGACATAATCTCGCAGTCGTGGCTGTGGCCCCGCATGGGCCAGTTTTTCCGCCCGAAGGACATCATCGTCGCGGAGACGGGCACGTCGAGCTTTGGTGTGCTCGAGGTGCCGTTCCCGCGTGGGGCGGTATTCGTGAGTCAGATCCTATGGGGCTCGATCGGCTGGACGGTCGGCAGCACGCTGGGCGCGGCGCTGGCGGGCGTAGACCTGGGGTACAAGCGCACGATCCTCTTCATCGGCGATGGTAGTCTGTGAGTGCTCCTGTGGCCTGACTGAGTATATATGGATTGCTGACACGGTGCGTAGGCAGCTGACGGTGCAGGAGCTGTCGGTGATGATGCGCTCGGGCGTGAAGCCGATCATCTTTGTGCTGAACAACAAGGGCTACACGATCGAGCGGTACCTGCACGGGATGGAGCGCAAGTACAACGACATCTCGAATTGGTGCGCACCGAGCTTGTGTATCCATAGTGCGCATTCTGACCGGGTACTGCAGGAAATGGACACAGCTGCTCGACACGCTCGGAGGACAGGAGGGTAAGAACTGCCTGTCGTACCTGGTGCGGAATAAGTCCGAGCTGTCAACACTGTTGGACGACCCGACGTTTGCCGCGGCAGACAAGATTCAGCTCGTAGAGATGTTGATGGACCCGCGCGACGCGCCGAACGCGCTCAAGCGGCAGGCTGAGCTGAGCGGGAAGACGAACCGCTACGTCGCTGAGCTCCCGTCGGGCGTTGGCGAGGCTGTCTAAAAGCCGGCGTGCATGTCACGGTGTGTACGATGCGCACAAAGTCGGACAATGTTGTACGAATGTACTATACTGTAGATGAGACTGCATGTAGAAATACGAGAAATGCGAATTGCCTTGTTCCGAAAAGCACAAGCGTGATGAGTATACCCATTCGCTTCTCACGTATGCGCCTCGATCGGACGCGCGTCATAGCTGTCCGACTCAATTTATGGGCGTCTAGATGGTGGTTTTACGTGAAACAACATGCTCGTCTCTTCCTCGGCTTGCAATTTGCAGCGCCCCCTCTGCGCTGCGCTGTTTCTCTACCGTTGCCACTGTCCGGCTCGCTCTTACTATAGAAAATGGCCGACAGACTGCACGAGGAAGCCGTCTACGACAGCGACGACGCTCACCTGAAGTCCCGCCCGTCCACCCCCCACAGCTCCTCCCAAGAGTCCACAGAAACCCCCGCAGGTGTGCACTTCCCCGAGGCCAAGGACGGATTCTTCGGATACAACGAGGAGAAGACGCTGCACCATGTTTGTGGCATCGCACTCAGCCTGCCGCGCTCGCTGACGATGCTGGCACAGATCGAGGAGAAGTTGTGGGCGCACCGACGCGGGTCGGACGCAGCAACGACATCGCGACCGGTCTCCGCGCTGGGCTCCCCCCACATGCGCGCAGACGCGCACGCCGACGGGCCGTCGTCCTTCGTCGGCAGCTTCAAGCTGTCTGCCATCTCGGAGCCTCCTGCGCAAGCGGTGCCGGGCTCCTCCGCAGAGGCGCATCGCATTGCCGGTCCATTGCATGGTATACATCTGGCCAGATCCTCCCCCCCGGGCATGCGATTAACGAGTCCCAACAGAATTTGCCATCGCGCCCGAGTTTTACCCCATCCTGGAGTCGCTGCAGAAATGCCTGGAGCTGCGCGACAAATACATGCTCCGCTCCGGACAGCAGCTCGGCTTCAACCCGAAGGATCACGACGGCGTGTTCACGGGACTGGACGACGACATAGCGACGGTCACCGGCATCCGCCCCGATGCGGATCGCGACGGCCGCTCGCCCCCAGCCAGTCCCTTCACGCCGTGGAGGATCTATCCCAGACCCCCGCCGCCTCACTGGCACTGGAGGGGCACCCAGGCCGTCCCCCCGAGCCAGTCGGGACACAGCGACGACGAAGACGAGGAGTTTGTCTTCGAGAACTGCAAGATTCCAGGCGCGGACGGCTGGCATTTTGAGATGGACGAGAAGGGCGTGTTCCAAGTCTACGAGACCGAAGACGGTAAGACGGACCAAAGTCTGCCAATGCGGGCCCGTTTGCTGATGATGACGTGCAGACCGGACGCCCAAGTTTGATATTCCGAGCATTCGGGAGTACTTCATGGACCTGGAATACGTCCTCGGTGTCATAGCCGACGGCCCGTCTAAAAGCTTCGCGTTCCGCCGGCTCAATTACCTCACGAGCAAGTTCACGATGTACAGTCTGCTGAACGAGACACAGGAATTGGTAGACATGAAGGTCCGCCTAGCCATCTTCCACTGCGCATGCCCCTTACTGACCTGGGCGATCCCAGAGCGTGCCTCATCGGTTTGTGATCTATATTGCCAGAGCTGTCGCTCCTCACCTCCGTCGATAGTGACTTCTACAACGTCCGCAAGGTCGATACCCATGTCCACCATTCGAGTAGCATGAACCAAAAGCATCTTCTCCGTTTCATAAAATCCAAAATGAAGCGTAGTCCCGATGTATGCATGTTTTCTCCCCTCACGCCGGTGTTAATGGCTTATACTCTGGCCAGGACGTCGTCATCTTCCGTGATGGCAAAGAGCTGACGCTCGAAGAAGTGTTCAAGTCGCTCAACCTCACCGCGTACGATCTATCCATTGACACGTTGGACATGCACGCGCATCAAGACTCGTTCCACCGCTTCGACAAATTCAATTTGAAATACAATCCTATCGGAGAGTCTCGCTTGCGAGAGATCTTCCTGAAGACAGATAACTACATCGCTGGCCGCTATCTGGCTGAACTGACAAAGGGTGAGACTATCAGCTGTAACGCAAGTCTGTTGCTCATGTATTCACAGAGGTCATGATTGACTTGGAGCAAAGCAAATACCAAGTACGCTGAACACGTCGCTTATCTGCTATATCACTGATGCACTGGAATACAGAATTGTGAATGGCGTGTCAGCATCTACGGTCGGAGTGCGGGTGAATGGGACAAACTTGCCAAGTGGATCGTCAATAACAAGCTCTACTCGCACAATGTCCGCTGGCTGATCCAGGTGCCGCGCCTGTACGACGTTTACAAGCAAAATGATTCTATCGAGACGTTTGAGGACATTGTTCGCAGTATGTAGCATTCCCCACTTCGCTTTCGAGCCGCGTGCTGAGCTGACACATTTTGCGCCGCCAGACGTCTTCCGCCCTCTATTCGAGGTCACACACAACCCATCGTCGCACCCAGAGCTGCACGTCTTTCTGCAGCGCGTCATCGGGTTCGACACGGTCGACGATGAGTCGAAAACCGAGCGGCGGTTCTACAGGAAGTTTCCGTACCCCAAACTGTGGAATACGAAGGAGTCGCCGCCATACTCGTACTGGTACGCGTTGTGTCCTTCCATTATCGATAGGACATTCATCGAAGTGTCGTGTCAACAGGGCGTACTACATGTTTGCGAACATGGCCAGTCTGAATAATTGGCGGCGTTCCCGTGGGTTCAGTAAGGCTATCTATCATGTTGTCATGCTACGCCAAGCTGAATCAGCGCGACTACTAGATACGTTCGTCTTCCGCCCGCACAGCGGAGAAGCTGGGGATACGGACCACTTGACGTCCGCCTTCTTGACTGCTCACTCGATCAGTCACGGTATCCTGCTGCGCAAGGTGCCCGCACTGCAATATCTATTCTACTTGAAGCAGATTGGTATTGCCATGAGTCCTCTTAGCAACAACGCACTCTTCCTGGCCTACGAGCGGAACCCGCTTCCTGAGTTCTTCAAGGTCGGCTTGAATGTTAGCTTGAGTACTGACGACCCGCTGCAGTTCCACTTCACCAAGGCAGGCGTTTTGCTTTACATTTCATCGTTGTTTCGCTGAAGACACACTGAAGGAACCCTTGCTCGAGGAATACAGCGTAGCCGCTCATGTATGTCCTATCCACTCGTGAATCACCATCCTGCTCACGTGAATCGGTGTACCCAGATCTACAAATTGCCCCAGAGCTCTCTGGCAGAGCTTGCACGCAACTCGGTCATCCAGAGCGGCTTCGAGATGGAGATAAAGCGGCACTGGCTGGGGCAGCACTGGTATCTGCCAGGCGCGGCCGGCAACGATATCAACAAGGTGTGGCCCACCCCATCAGACGACAAACTGGCGCTGAAAAGTTCGCAGACGAATGTGCCCAATTTGCGACTGGAGTACAGACGACAGACGCTTGTAGAAGAGCTGTCGATGATCCGGGCGAACTCGCATTCTAGCACTGTGTAGCTACATGTCCCCTGACAATTTCAGCTCCAATTGCCTGCGTCTGCGCGCGCATGGGTAACCCATCCTCATCTTTTACTGGCGCTGAGTAAAATTGGTCCGAGGAGAAGGGTCCTCCGTCCGACCTTCCTACAAGAGCAACGCTAGGTGTGATTCGGGGCGTATCAGTGCATGTCCCCAGTGCCCAAAATTATTAAGGGCCTCACCTCTGACAGTGTCAGCAGTCAGGTCCTCGTTCTCTGATTTCACTCATCCTCCACTATGGCAAGCAGGACCTCATCGCACCACACGCCGTCAATCAGGTTACTTTTCCTTTTGGTCCCTTCCTCTACCAAACCACTGTCATGAACGTGATACACAACAGTGTCAGCGTGCGAGTGCTGTGTCGTTGACCCCAGGGCGACATATACTAATTTGTACTTCTCGATCAGGGTCCGATCACCGTCATGTACCACGAAGGAGACGCAGTGAAGACCTAAAGTCTTGAATGCGTATTCCACCAGATACCCGACAATTTGTTGGCGGTCCTCATCCACAGTGTGCGTGGGGAACACCAGGGTAAGCGAGGCATCCCGGATTTTGGAATTCGTCGTTGTAATGCTACAGGCACCATAACACATGCTCCTGGTACCAAAACAGTCGCTGTAGGTGCCGTTGACAAGAGCGGTGTAGAGGATGTTGGTTCCAGCAGGAACAAAATCCAGAGTGCTCTTTGGCCTGATTGCCGTATTCGAAGACACACGCTGTACTGACTGTTCATTACACATTTGCAATGTAAACATGAACATCGGCTGGTCTGGGCCATTCGCATCCATCGGCGAGAAAGTGAAGCGGCCACTGCTTGTAGAGAACATATCTGTTATGGACAAGTCACAGAACGAACGGTGTCAGACACCTCCAGTACCGCGCCCACGACGTATATCAGTCTTCGAGGCTATCCTGAGTTATCGAGGCTATCCTGTCCCGATAAGTGCTGATAGATATGATTCAAGTGGGATTAGTGATTAGTCGCATGCGATCATTTCCGCAGGGAGGTGCTTGGACGACACGCGGACGCAGCAAGCGCGTCCTTCTAGCACCAAGAAACGGAATAGATCGAAGCAGTCATGCAAGGAATGCGGTCCTGTGAGTTCCTAGACTCCTCATTTTCGTCGTGGTTGGACCTTTCTAGAGCAATGGAGAGAATATCAGATGCTTGTCGAGGTTCTAGTGACTGGGAGCGTCGGTATCGTATTGTGACAGTGTAGATTACATTCGGAATTTGATTCACCTGGATTCACTGGATTTCCGTCGAAGATTCCACGGACAATAAGAGGTCACACATACGTTGCAATATCTGTTGATAGTCTACAGGGATAGTCTACAAGGAAAAGAATATGATTCACCTAGTCATGAGGTACGGAACCGATCTCCAAAGACGTCCAAAAGCTCCAGAGCATGCTGGGGTCGAAAACGTGTGCACCCGTTGATAACAATATCAGTCAATGTGGAAAGATCGTCCTTCACCGCCACGTCCGTGAATTCGACGCGGCTGCGCAATGTCTCCACCAAGGCATCACCGGATACTCTATTACAATTCCACAGGCCCAATGTATACAACTGCGGCAACCGTATGCGCACAGGCTGGTCAGGAGACACGACGGGTGCCAAGGCCTGAATGACAGTGTCGGACATGTCTGACGCCACGATGCGGAATTCTCTGAGGGCGTTCAGCTGCTCGAAGCACCAAAGGAAGTCCTTCGTGCGCATGTCCGCGTAGGTCATCTCGAGGACCTCTAGCTGGGGCTTGCTTCGTTGCATGAGGGCGCGCAGGCCCATGCCTGTAGCGTGATCGCTCCACGGCGACTGGGAGAAGTCATTCGCCTCGTCGTCGGAGTCCCCGTCCTCGGTGGACCCGGCGTACGGGTCGTACTGGATGGGAAAGTCGACGTTCGTGTGCTCGAGGTAGAGTTCGATGAGCCGCGGTGCGTCAATATGCGCGAGAAACGTGCGGACCGCGCAAGTGCTGCGCAAGAGGAGAGTGTGCAGTTGTGGTAAAACGACAACAGGTGTTGTAATGGACGCATCACTGGGCAAGCCCTGGTGGGGAACGCCGTAGTAATGGAACTGCTTGAGCGCGGGCAGTGAGGTGAGGAATTGAAGGACGGGCACGGGATCAGGACAGGTATCCCATGCCTCGCAGATAGTGAGATCGGATATGAGCATCGCGGAGACGTGGTGTGGCATAGGTAGAGTGCTGACAGCAACATACATGCATACGTCGCGAAGTGCATCCGAGCGCGAGGTCGGCATAAGCATAAAGGTAGGCGAATTGAAGAACTCGCCCTCCATAGCTAAGGGATCGATGCCTGAGCAGCCGCGTACGCCCACCCTCAGGGCTTCGAGGCGACTAGCAGAATTGAGTGTGCCAAGTGCGGCGAAGTTGGTCCTCTCCGTGGTCTCTCCCGTGTTGATCTCACACTCGCTCCAGCGAACAAGCTGGGGAATGAGGGGAGACAAGAGGGGAAGGAGCATGTCCGGTGATTGTACATTTACATGAATGTGGAGTGGAAAGGGGGTGGAGTTGGCCATCCAGAGTCTCGCCTGAGTATGCGATGCTTCCACCTTACGGGAGTCGCTGAGGAAGAGATGCTGCCAGAGGCGTGGCGACGTGTTTGCGACGCTGCGCCAATACTGACAGGTACGGCCAATGGTGAGCAAGGGGAGTTCGTTGCCGAAAACATCAGCGCAATAGGTAAAGATCTCGATGAGCAGCTCCGGTGGGAGCGCGTCGATAGGACAAGTACAAGAGGAGGTCGACATGGCCGATGTGTAGAGATCGACCTTCGTAGTTGCCCCGCTTTATTCTCTACAGGAATCTGGCGGTACCAATCTGAATAATTTGAGAAGGCGAGGCCCTGTTGTACAGAGTGATAACCGAGAATGGCAAAGAAATGCAGAGAGGATGAGGCAGAGTGCGACTTGATCGTGCTCACCGAACACTAGATGGTCAATTTAGGAAGGTGCGTGGGAAAGCGCGCCATGAGACCCCGCTCAATCGCCATCACTCGGGAACAGGATTCTTGCCTTCATTACCTTGGATCGCCAATATGGTTCGAATACCCACTGAAAAAAAACATGCGACTCAGATTTTTCACAGATGGAGCACACGGGGAGGGGACTGCCAGGGATAGTGATGAGAGGTGTGAAAGAGACGATAAAACGCTAGTCCCCCGAGAGGCGCTGGCTTACTAAGCAGAGAACTGCACAGTCCTCAGTGGCTGGCTTGAACTCAAATTTCCCTCTCGGTCCATCCACACAACCGCCGACGTCGCGCCCGCCGCTGTCCGCCCCGCCCAAGGTAACTTCTCTATTCTCACCACAAAATGCCAGGTGTACGTGATATCAGGTCAGTCCGGCTCGTCCGCACACAAAACACTAGGAGACAAACTAACGGCAGGTCCCTATTCTGCGCACATTGTGCACCATAGCGCGGAGGCGTTCATCGCAGCGTACTCGTCCCACCTCAAGCGATCGGGCAAGCTCGAGGTCCCCACATGGGTTGACATTGTCAAGACCGGCTCCTTCAAGGAGCTTGCGCCATATGACCCCGACTGGTACTACGTTCGCGCAGGTACGCATACACGTACTCTACCGTTCTGCCGATCGTGAACCCTTTCTCAGCCGCGATTGCACGACACATCTACCTCCGAAAGGATGTCGGCATCGGCGCCCTGACGAAGCTTCACGGTGGCCGTAACCGTCGCGGCAACCGTCCCTCGCACCACGCCGACTGCTCTGCATCTGTCCAGCGCAAGATCTGCCAGTCGCTCGAGAAGATTGGTGTCCTTGAGCAGACCGACAACGGGGGTCGTCGGATTAGCCAGGACGGCCAGCGGGATCTTGACCGCATTGCAACCGCTGTTGTGGAGGCTGAGCGGGAAGACGAGGACGAGGAAGAGGAGGCTGAGGAGGCTGAGGAGGAGGAGTAGACGCGACGCGGATAGGAGCGTCGGCGAGCTCGGTTTGCCTCCCTCGCGGGGCGACTGGTGTATGTATTCCGCATGAGCCTTTACAGCATTATCACGGGTATGACACATGCGACTTTTCCAAAAATTCAGGCTGTATTTTCCTTCACATTCAAGGATTCTCTGTCTGCTCATTCGCCGACAACTGCACTGCAACAATTGCCTGTGGTGTCATTTATACCACAACAGTGCCAATTTGACGTGGACACGATTGTGTGTTTCGCGCCTTGTGCTCCCTGCTTAGCTCTCTGTTTTTCAGTAGCGCACCTCGTCAAATGGCCCCACAGTTCCTCATCAATTCGTGCGCTTTCTGCTGAGGACTAAGACCTCGTGGCATCAAATCTTTGCTGCTTCGGCTGCATTGCATCAACAACTTACTCTCGTCCATCTGAGGTATGTTGAACATGCGTTAAGGGCCTTATTTATCAACACTGTCGCAGCCTGGATCCCGCGACCAGTTCGCAGGCCGACAGTTGCGCGTGCTATCGAAACGTCTCATGAACCTCCTCAACTACCGCAAAACTGTGAGAACAAATGATAAAGTACATTGAGGATAGCAAGCTGGTCATATTCGTGTGCAATCTGACCTGTCATGCCTCGGTGGCCACGCTCTGACCTCTGCTCTTCCAGCTCACCCCAAATCATACAACTGCATGTGTGGCGCTTGTTGCGCTCTCACAACATCAAGAGTTCAGAGTGGGAACGTTGGTCCCCGCAACCCCGATACCTGTGTGTATTTCATCCGCACCTTCTTGAGTTTGCGCATAACAATAGTCAGCGAAGGAATCTTCGCACGTCCGCGTCGCCAAGAGCTGCATGAAGTATCCACTGCGCGATGATCCATGCAGCGGCACAAAATCATGCTTGTGTCGCCTCTCCCAGACAAACAAAGTTGGTATCAAAGTGTCATCTATCGGTTAGCGCGACGCGTTGTGCAGGGGAACCAGTGAGCGCAAGCTGCCTTGCTGGAAAATATCCGGTACATTGTGTACCATCAGCCGAGTTGTTTGCAGCTTTGCGAGTATACAGGCAGCCGTCTAGTATGCCATTCGTAAATAATCATAGTGTATGTATCGCGACCCAACGACACCCAGGGCAATAGACAGAGGGGGTTGGCAAGGGCGCCAAGACAAGATCTAACCATTAGACCAGCCAAAGGGATGTAGGTCAAGACGTGCGAAGTAACAAGGAAGGATACAATGGACCCGCTCGATGTGAGCGATACAAAGCGGAGCAAATTGTGAATGACATACCACTAGTATACGAGGTCCTCTGCAGCACTTCTGTTAGGCAATCAACTGTGTATCGTGACGGATTGCCGCCGAGGGTTGTCGGTCTTCGAGCGTCCGTTGCGTATTCCTTCCGGCAGTCGTACATAGCATAGGTTAGCAGATTTCTTCCACTCCTGCGAGGTATGTCCAACGCGCGCATGTACTGACTGCTCTGCAGCACAGGTCACTATGAACGACATTAGGCTGATACTATCGCGCACGGCATCGAAATGTCGCATTCCGGTTTTCCGCAGGCCAATGATGCGTCCCAACTCTCATAATCCTCTTTGGCTGCCGCAAGAGCTATGGTACAGAATCATAGAAAATTTCGACAACGACCTATGCACTCTGTCTAATTGCAGCCTAACCTGTCGTGCATGGGCAGCCGCATTCCGCCCTCTGCTCTTCCGCCGCCTCCGCGTCACCGATCGCAATCTTCGCCGCGTACACAGCCTGCTGCTCGCAAACAAGCAAATTGGGACCCACGTCAGACATCTCACATTCATGGACTTTCAATCCTGGTCTGGGCAGTGGCAGCAGGAGCAGCGCAAAACTCTGGCATTCATCCTTTCCCAATTCCCCCAGGTCACCAATCTCACCCTAGGAGTGCTCGTCCTCACGCCGTCCATGCTGGATACGCTGGCGCCGCTCTCGCCACCCGTGCAATTCCTGACAGTGGGGACGCTGGTAGGCACAACACCTGACGCCTTCACGCGATTCATTCGCGCGTTCTCTAATCTGCACATGCTGTCGGTCGAGGAAGACCTGTACATCCATCCCGAAGGCAAGGGGCTATCGTCTGCGTCTGTTATGGAGCGGCTCATGCGAACACTCGGCATCGCGTTCACGCCGCCGGCTCAGAGAGAGCCTGACTGGTATCAGCAGGCGATCAGTTCACTCTTCTGGAATCTGTCCCACCGTACCATAAGGGGCGACCCAAGAGCATTGGCCGCCTTGCTGCAGGATGCAGCCCCGTCGCTGACATGTCTTCGTCTCGACTTCCGGTGCTTATATGATGACACGGGTGCGTCCATGAGCCACCGACAGCCAACTTGTAGGATCTGACCGTTCGCCGCTTGCCACCACTAGTGGTGTTCGGCAAAATGGACAACACGAGCATCACTTGCTTGGAGTTCTGGGGAGTTTCGCCTTATGACAAGTATTGGATACCGCAATTCTTGTCGCAGGTCCGGACTGCGAGCATTCGCGAGGTCAAGTTTCGGGACTTCCCATCTGGGTCATCGACACGGACCACAGATCTTCTTCGCGCTTTGGAACCAGTCTTATCTAGAGCCGCCCTCCCAGCATTGCAGAAAGTGACCTTCAGTGTTGGCGTCTCGAGCTCTGCAACAGAGCACTCCTTGGGTTGCACATCCATCCAAGCACTCCTCCCCCATCTCGATGCTGAAGGACTCTTAGAATTTGAGGATTAGCATCCAGTAGTCGAAATGGGAAACAAGTGTTGTCGCCGTGTACGTATATGCCGCCTTTCACAGTATGATTCGTAGTACTCAAAATGAGTTGTCAGCCTTCGTGAAGCGGGGTGTGTGACTCACTTTGCTGAGCATGTTAGTAAATGAATGTGGCCAACGCAAAGATAAGGAAATTGCTCGATCGCGACTGTGATCGACTAGAATATTGTGATACGAGCTCCAGTTATATGTTGCATATGGAGTCTTACCTAGCTCTTACCGGATTGAATGACGGTTGTTGCGATCAAATATCGAGCAGGTATTGTGGGGTGACTGGGCGTTCCTGTACCTCATAACTCCCGTAGAGGGAACTGTCTCATCTGACGAGGATACAGAGCGTAATTGAGCGAAATATTCTGTATAAACTTTTCGATGATACCAATTCGAGTGGAGGTCCGATGAGTTGCACTTGAGAAGTGCGCTGAGTTACTGCTGGGCATCGTCAATGATTTTTGCAACCACCTGCAATGATATTCTTGCAATGGCTGCGCAACATTAGCGGGGTGCTCATAGGACCTGTCTTGTTTCCATCTGCACCTGGCCAGCAAAGACCTCGCTTGATGATGGAACAAGCCGCAGCGGGCCTAACTCAGTCTCATTTGTGGGAGGAGTCTTGCTGGGGAGTGCGAGTTCTTCGCCAAGAATCGCCGATATCCATTTAAACTTATACGCACCCCAATGTATCCTGTCCTGTTACAGCGCTGCCGTGTGCGTATACAAGCGCAATCTGGCTACGGATGAGACTCAGTGGATTGTCTTCCCTATGGGCAAAGTTTGTCCGCTACTTGCTCAATCAGGCCTCTAACTTCCTTCTTCTGTACTCCCCCCTCCCCAAAGCCACTTTTGGTCAACTTGGCCTTCAGCGTCTCCCGCGCTTGGAGAACCTCCAGGAATGGTGTGAGCTGCGTCTCGTAGACGGGCGACAGGCGTAGAAGGAAGGCCAGAGCAGCCGTGAGCCGGTGAACTATGGCTCTGTTAGCAACGCATTCGGGTGTACCGCGATCACGTCTACGTACCAACTTCCTCGCTCTGCATCTCGTTCGAGAATGCCTCGAGCACGGCGCTCACGAGCTCGACCTCCCAGTCCCCGTCTTCTTCAGCCCCACCACCGCCCGACACGCCCTTACCAACGAGCTGGTCCACCCGCGACTTTTGCAGGAACGCGGCGACATTGAACGCAAGGCTCGCCGCGGCCGTGCGCACGGCCGTGTCCGCGTACAGCAGGCTCGACACAAGCACCCGCGTCAGGTCGGCGCGCTTGCCCGCGGGGGCGAGCAGGCCGCGCGCCAGCGCCGGGCTCGCGAACGTGTTCGCGAGCAGGCGGAGCACCACGAGGACGAAGTTGCGCGCGTCTTTGGGGGAGTCGGACAGTGCTGCGTTCGCCTTGTCGGTGAATATGTGCACGGGGTTGAGGAGGGGCAGCGCGGTGGAGCACCAGGAGCTGATGGGCTCGTCGAGCAGCGCGAGGCGCCAGAGGTCCACGAGGGGGAAGAGCTGCATCGGTGGAAGGGTGCTTGCGAGGGTGCGTGTCGCCTCGGCCCAGCGGAGGGTCATCTGGGCGCTGGCACTGAGGTTTGGAGGAGCCTTCGCGCCGGAGCCGGGAGGGGGGAAGCGCATTCGAAGGTAGCCGGGAAAAGAGGGCGCAAGCTTCTCCTTTGCGGCGGCAGGTTCTGGAGAGGAGAGGGACGCGTCTATGAAAGAGCTCAGCTTGGCCATGACGTTGTCGACGGCCGGGACCTGCTGGAAGAGGATAGGGTTGGTCGAGAGGGCTTCGACAGCCGGGAGGGCAAGTTTCGTATGTGGGTGAGCTGAGGTCGGTGTTGTCAACAATGCGTGCAGATTGGAGGACAGATGTACTCACGAGGGAAGGCTTGGTACAGTAGCAGGTCAACCTGGGAGCGGAGCTCAGCTGCATTGGCACCCTTGAATTCATGGACCTGCCCAGGATAATTGTGAGGAAATGTGAGAACCCGAGATCGCTGACATGTATCATACCTTCTTGCCGTCTAAGAAGAACATGAATGTTGGCGTCACTCTGACGCCCCACTGAGAGCCCACTTGATTACCCATCCCTACACCGATGTCAACCTTCACGAACGCCATCCGGTCTACGCCATTACCATGCGTCTTCGCATGTGCCAGATCCTCGAATATGGGCTCAATCATACGGCAGGGCCCACACGTCGCGCTCGTGAAGAACACAGCAACGGCTCTGTGCGACCGCATTAGCGAATCAAGCGACGCAGAGTTGGTGCAGATATGTATAGGAGCGGACACGGTCGCGGTCGATGTGGAGGCGCTTGCGGCCTGCGTAGCCTGCGGCGATGGCATCGCTGAAGGAGACATTGCTTGTGACGCCATTGCCTGGAGCAGAGATGCGGCAAGGGCGGGGTTCGGGGATGCAGAAATGGCGGCAGATGCAGCGGCGGGTGAGGGCTGCAGCGTCGCAGGTGTTGGAGCTGCGCCAGGAACGGGACGACGGAACATGTTGTCGATAGTGGGTCGCAACGCAGCCCCAAAGGGCGTTGAGAGGAAGTCAGAGGGAAGATCTGCACATGGTGAGTCGGACTACAATGTATGCTCCCTAACGATGAAATGACCAACCTTTGATCCATGACGGTATAGAACCACCTGTGAGGAAGCCGATGACATCGTTCGTGAACGAATTACAATTGAAATCTAGGAGGCCAACGCGGAGCGTCAGACACCAGGACCAGTGGCCAAACAATCAATACTTGCCTAGCAGGTGGTACTGCACCGGAGGGCTATCACGGGACTGCCTCAACACGAGAACTTGAACTGACTCACCTTGTCGGCTGTATATTGCTGTCGCATCTCATTCAAGTATTCATCGAAGGTATCTTCGTCTATCGCCGTCTCCCCCATTTCCACCATCTGTAAGGGTTTACCATGCTACGGAGCATCAAGACCAGAGACTTGTCCAATATGCCGTGATATATGACAACGTACGTGAGATTGGGCGGGGAGGGTCTCGCAGATTCCCTGGCCGTAGAAGATCTCTCTTCCAAAAACAACGACAGAGGTATGCCTAGAGGAGGAGGTGAGATACAGGCTGGCTATGCGTAAGGAACTGAGACCCAATCGCACCACACGCCGTCTATTTGCCTTCCGGTGAGCTGACGAGACAGTTGCTTGGCGAGCCCATTGCTGAGGTCGTACACGTAGAGCGCAACCTTTGCAGACATTGATAGCTGAGTATTAGCGGGGTGTATGGCGTTGGGATGAGAGCATAGAGAGGCGGCGGTTAATATTGCGGCAGGCGCAGGGCATGACGCGTCGCGATCGCTGATCGGTGCTACGCGCTCTAATGACACACGTGACGCGAGTTTTCCTGAGCCTTCCAGTGCTTCAAAGTTCGCAAAACACATCGTGATCAACGGCAACCTTGAAACATACAGAATATCCTGATTGTGCGGATGATACCAAGCATATGTGCCGCAACGGGTGCTCATGCAGATACACGGTCGCCGTCACGCTCACCCGGATGAGGTAAGCCCGAGGGCGCCTAGACTAGTCTCTCAAGGCCTCATGTCCCCCTCCCTTGCACTTCCCCAGTGACTACGCTACCCCGCACTGCGCACCATCGCGGTTCCGCTAGAGGCAGCCTCATCGCAGACTGTACTGCCTCTGCATATCATCAAATCCATCTCACAGCCAGCTGCTGGACGGCCTGGAGACCGTTGACCTCTTCGTGCGCGATCTACTTCTCACCTCACATCGAGTACCGCCCTCCAGAGCTCGAGCCTCGCATAGGCTCAATGAGCGCGCGCCAGGCCGCCTGCTTGCGATTATAAAGCATCCCGACACTTCTCCCAGGCGGCACCGAGCATCGTTGCGTCGCCCAACCGACACTGATACACAAGGGCCCACTGCTGAGATGGACACCATCCCGCCAGAGATCCACGCCCTCATCTTCGCCTTCGCCTGCTCCGACGACGGCACGACAGGCCACTCCCTCTCCCGCGTCTCGCGCTACATACGCGCCGTCTCCGCCCCGTTCCGTTGGCAGTCCCTCGTTGTCTCCGGCGTCAACCAGGCGCGCGGCCTCGCCGCCGTCCTGAGCGCCGCTACGCGCGATGTGGGCACGACGCTGCGGCGCCCGGTCCACCACCTCTTCCTGTCGACGCGCCGCCAGGCAGACGCGATCGACGACCACGCCGTCTATGGCTGGCAGACGTCGACGCTGGAGGACTGGCCGGACTACCAGGCCGCGATCCTGGCGTACGCCGCGCCGACGCTGGAGACGCTCACGTTCCTGGCCTTCGACCCGTTCTTCAGCAGCGCGATGTGCATCCAGGACCTGCTCAAGGTGCCCTTCCCGCGCCTCACGGAGCTGACGATCCGCGGCCGCTGCACGCCGTCGCAGCTCTCGCTCACGGCGTACATGGACGAGCCGGACAGCTTCACGGACGTCGAGTCCAGCGCGGAGCAGCAGCCGCCTGCGGACGGGTGCGCCGCGCGGGGCGCCCCGACGCGGCCGAAGCTGCAGCGGCTGCACCTGGCGTGCGCGTACCACGGGTTCGCGTACGGCACGCGCGCGACGTCAAAGCTGATCCACACGCTCGCGCCGCAGCTCACGCACCTGCGGCTGTCGATGCTGGACATGTGGGGCAGCAAGCGCGTCGCGGAGATCCTGCACGCGGAGTGCGCGGACCTCGGGATTGCGCCGCGCGTGCTCCCGCTCGAGCCGCTGCCCGCGCCGGGGCCCAGGTTCGGCGCAGGAGCCGGGGTGGGCGTGGGCGGGGCGGCGGCGGCGGCGTGCACGGCGCAGGACGTGCGGTGGGCGCGCGTGCTCCCCGCGCGCGTGCAGCGCTTCGTGATCCAGCCGCCGCCGACGGCGCCGTCGGACTTTTACTGCTCGTGCTGCATGGACGTGCGCGGGGACGCGGACGTGATGCGCGTGTTCGAGGCGATGGGGCGCGGGGCGGACGCGCGGTTCCTGTACCAGCCCGCCCGGCAGCGCGGGGGGTACGGGTACGGGGAGGCGAAGGCGGACTGGCTGGCGCGCATCGCGGAGCGCGGGGGGTGCTGGGAGGAGGCGGTGGGCGCCGACGCGGGGGCGGGGGCATGGGAGGCGCATGAAGGGGGGCGTGCGCACGAGGCGCGCGCGCTCGGGGCGGAGATAGGAGCGAGCGGGCGTGGAGGGAACACGCCGCGCGTCGGGGAGGGGAAGAGGAGGAGGCTATGGAAGAAGATGCGGGGCTGGAGGGTTTGGCCGGCGTCGAGTGGGACGGCGGCACGGAAGGCGAAGGTCGCGCACTGGCGGACAGCGGCGTTCGGACGCCTGTCGCAGTTGTATGATGCATTGATGACCCGCGCGCCCCGAGGGGACCCGGACGCTGTTGTGACTGTCCCGGCTTGAATGATGCATGTGTAGCCTGCTGGATGTACTATATCTATCACATTAGACCTCTTGTGTACACGACATGGTACGACTCTGACGCAATGGACACTTTATGACAGACTGCACCCATGGCTTATCGCGAGACGTGTTCTGTTACATGCAAGAGCGCTGGCGCGCTGAGCGGAAGGAGGCTAGCACCGCTGTCCCAGGGCAGCTGGAGGACGAGACAAGGCGACTTCCATTCCCGCATTCTGCCACGGCCAGACAAATACGAGTGGGCGGGGTTCCCTTCGATCAGCACACGACATTCACTGGAGAAGAGCTGCTCGGTACAATACAGTCCTCGCTTCTGATCGCTCCAGGGCAGCGCTGGCCTGGTGGGGGCCTCGACCACCGGATGCTCTTCGCCTGTTGTTGCGGCTGGATATGCAGCCACTCTGTGGTTGGCCGTTCGGCATGACGGCAGTGTAAACCCTTATATGGCGCGATACGACATTCGCGATTGCGCAGGGAGGGATGCTGTCATCGTGACATGGACGGCACTGGCGTGTAGTAGCACGGATCCCCGGAGATTAGAGGAGCTAGAGGGTTCCCCGAATGGCAGTAAAGCTCAGACGAGTAGCACACAAGGATAGGCGCAGCTGCGGACAGAGCTAACGCGTGCGGGTGCCCGGTGCCCATGATGACGCGAGGGTTGACGAGATGTGCGAATGGCCGCAGCGCGAAGCTGGCTTGGGCACTCGCAGGAAGTTGCACTTGCCAAGCAGAGAGAACAAACGAGCGGTCGCCTTGGTGAGCAGGCAGGGCCCGAATACGGTCTGGGAAAAGAAGGACAAGGGGCGATGCATGTCATATGAGAAGCGTGGTGTTCGGTCAGATGAGGCGATGGTTAGGTTAACTAGCGCGTCGTAGACGCAGCTGCAATACAGATATGGTCCAAAGGCTGTTGGAGTTGCTCAAGCCGCGCTGGGGGTGCTGACGTGATCGCGAATCGTTGAAATGGCGAGGACGGGCGTCGGCGGCGGCGATGGGATCTCGCAAAATCGACATTGAAAATGGGGATGCCGCGGCCGGCACGACTGCCATATATGGTTTATCAAGAAGGTACGCGAGCGAGATTGGCGATTCCGCAGCCGCAAACCACAACGAGGGATGGAGCATGACGGACGCCAAGGCTCCCTCGCGAAAATCATCCGAAAATCCACTCACCCGCCGTGGCGTTCGCGAGCAATCCTAGCGCAATATGTTTCCGTGTCGCACCTCCAACAGGCTCCAGACACATCAGCTGTCGGAGCGCCGCCAGCTGGACGTGCGCCGCTGAATTGGTCTGTATCGCGGCTGGACACGGCTGATAGATATGTACATCTCCATAGCGAGTATGTTTGATCTCTGCTTCTAATTCTCCGGATAGCCCTTCTGTGCCCTGCCTCCTCCTTGAACAATACAAACACGCATATTGCGCAGCACAGGGCGGTGCCGCATGGAGGAGCACACGAGCTATCGTGGGTGCCCTGCAGCCCGTCCGGGGATGCCACTAGCGGATACACTCCCCGGATCGTGCCCTCGCCCGTTCTTCCCTCGCCCACGTCACCAGAACGCATATACCCACAATTTCCGCCACAATGCACCCCGTCCAAATCGAGCACATTCGCACCCGTTCCCCACTTATAAGCTCGCGCCCCGCCGTCATGCTGCCCCCACCTTCTCCCCCACAATTACAAGTCTCCCACCTTCCCCACCTGACCGCACAGTCCAGCCATGACCCACGTCGTCGTCCGCGGCCTCCCCTTCAGCACCCGCCTCGCCGGCACCCACGCCAAGGACCTCATCGCGAGCGACAAGGCGCGCGCCCAGAAGCTCCTCAAGGGTATCAACCCCCACGGGCCGCTCGCGTTCTACGAGTCGCACCGCCGCCGTCGTGAGCACGAACGTCATGAGCGTCACGAGCACGAGCGCCATGAGCATTACGAGCGTCACCGACACCATCACGCAGGTGGTGCCGCGAGCACCGGTAGTTCGGGCACTGGGTCGACCGGCACTGGCACTGGCACTGGCACTCCGTCAGGAGGTTCCGGCACTGGCACCACGTCGGGCGACGGTGTCGATGTGTCTGACGCCAGTGTCAACTACAACGCAACTGTCGGCGTGGGTTCACCCGCCACCGACTACACGCTCCTTATTGATACTGGTGGGGCATCTTGGCAATTGCGGATATGTTTCCCTGAATGCTGATAATGCCGTCTAGGTAGCTCCAACACCTGGGTCGGGGCTGACCAGAAGTACGCGCCGACAACCTCTAGCAAGAGCACGGGTAACACTGTCGTAAGCACAAGCATATCGACCAAAATCGCGGCAGTCTGTGACGGCTTTATTTATCCAGAACGTCAGCTACGGCTCTGGCTCCTTCTCTGGAACCGAGTGTACGCATTTCTCGCCGTATGCTTCTCCCGTTCAAATTCTGACGCAGGCATGCACAGATGTTGACCAGGTTACGATCGCCCCGGACCTCGTGATTCAGCAGCAGTCGATCGGCGTCGCCACCCAGGCGACGGGCTTCAGCGGCGTGGACGGTATCCTTGGCGTCGGCCCCACAGACCTCACTCAGGGAACCGTTTCGAACACTACGACTGTTCCCACCGTCACGGACAACCTCTTCTCCCAGGGCACCATCTCTACCGAGGTCCTTGCCATCTCGTTCGAGCCGTCCACCACGTCGGACCCGGCCAATGGCGAGCTCACCTTTGGCGGCACTGATAGCACGAAGTAGGTGCACGCGAGCAGTGCGGCCTGGACCCGGCACTGACGATAGCGTACATTCGCTCTCAGGTACACTGGTGAAATCACCTATACGCCGATTACCACGACGTCCCCTGCGTCCGCCTACTGGGGCATCAACCAGTCGGTGACATACGGCAACAGCACGACCTTGCTTTCGGGCAATCCGGGTATCGTCGACACCGGCACGACTCTTCTCCTGCTCGCGTCCGATGCATTCTCCAAGTACGAGAAAGCAACGGGCGGCGTCCTGGACAAGTACGCTTCTTCTTTGCAGACTCTGCGTGCGCTGACCGAAGCGTGGATGACAGCACGACCGGGCTGTTGACCATCACCGAGGCGCAGTACGAAAGCCTGGAGTCGCTGTATTTCGTCATCGGTGTGTCGGCATGCTGAATCCTATTTAGCATGCGCTTAACACATGTCTTCGAATGCACAGGCGGCACCACGTTCGAGTTCACGGCCAACGCCCAGATCTGGCCGCGTGCGCTGAACTCTGCCATTGGCGGGCAGGAGGGCACCATCTACCTGATCGCGAGCGACATCGGCAGCAACAGTGGCTCCGGTCTGGACTTCATCAGTGCGTCTGCACCGGTCTCTCCTTGCATACCGGTTGACTGACCTGGATCTGGATCGCCAGACGGGTTCGGCTGGCTGCAGCGGTTCTACAGCGTCTTCGACACCACGAACACGCAAGTCGGCATCGCGACCACGCCGTACACGGATGCGACGACGAACTGACTGCCCATGGCTTCTTGTTCTTGTCCTGTGAGTGGCGGATCGCTGCCGTCGGACGTTTATACGAGTAGTGCGAAACTATAGGATGCCGTGGATATCTGACGCTGTATGATACTTGATCTACCTTTCTTGTATGTATGTGCAATATATTCACGATCAAATTGGCCCCACTGCGCGCGTCTTTCGTGTCTAGCAGCCCCGGCGATTGAATGCTGCTGCATGCCAATCTCAGATGCGTCCCGCGGTCTCTGACAGCATTGTTCGGCACACTGCGCCGAATTGCGCCAACATGTTCGCCAATTATATAACATGTTGCCGGGCCTGTCAACTTCCGGCTTGCAACCTCGCCATTGCTTGCAGCTGTCACCCGTTGCAAGCTTTCCCCGCCTTTCATCAAGTATTTTGGACCCAAGATATAGTTATCTTGCGGTGGACCTGTCGGCATGGATGGCGCTTGCATTGCAGTTGAGTCCGTATCATAAAACCTGTTGGGCCCAATATGGGCGTGAATGAGCGGGCCCTGGAAACTGCGACCTAGTTTGGTAAATTGTGGCTGCGACGATACTTCGCAGGGTCCAGCCAGGCCGGGACTATAGTCCCCGGCCGTTGGTTCCGAATTCCACATCATTTTCGGGTATGTCTAGCGAAATGGAATTGACTGTCAAGTGATCCCTGCAACGCATTGCAGAAGCGCTAGCGCGTCCGATCGGAAGGACCGATTCGATGCGCCACAGAAGCAACCTGATCACCGCTTCCTGCTCTGAAAGGTAGCTGCAGAACCTTGTCCAATATTGTCAACACAGATGCCCTAAATACCCGAGGTGACATTATACAGTGTGAAGAAATACATAATAGGTTGTGGAAAGCGGGTAGCGATGAAGATGAATAGCGTGGAGTGGATAGCTATGTGGTGAGTGTCGGCTCGCAAGTCCAATATAAGGATATGCAGACTGTTCGTGCATGAAGCACGCGCCCTAGACAATTAAATAGATCAACGAGCGGCGAGCCAATCCCTCACAGCCTGCAGCTTCGCAGCGCCCCTGTCCCCTGTGAATCCTCCCACGACCAGGATGAAGTGAGCCAGGGACATTGCCGCGATGACAGCAATGACTGATGATATCTGGAATGTCGTCCCCTGTGGCGTGGAACTGTCGTACACAACCTTCGCTTCGGCTTGATCGTTGTAGTCGCTCTCGACGGGTGTGGACGGCTCGCCTAATGGAGGGAGCGAGACATCGAGAGAGTCTGTCGGGGCTAAATCGTCAAGAGCGGCAAAGAGTCCACCATTAAGCTCAAAGGCAATGCATGCCTCGCGCAGTATGGCAGCTGCGTTGTGTCAAATGTGGTTCAGAATGTCCTGATGCAGATGTTACATACCCTTCACTGCCTCGTTGCTACCGACGGACGTATCCATGTTGTGACGGAACCACTCCTTGATCTTCTTCAGGTCGCCGATAGTCGCCCGCCCGGTGCCTCCCAGAGGCGAAAAGTCATAGAAAGCGACTCCAGCGTCGCCTTCCAGCCCGTATGCCTTAATAATGCGATTGCGAATAATCTGCCCGCCGCTAAGATCACCGAGGTAGCGAACGTAGGCGTGGGCTAGCAGAGGAGACGGATCACTTGAGTCGGCAACAGTTTCCATGCGCGAGACATAGTCAGTGAGAGCCGCAGGTGGCGATTCCACGAACGCCACATGAGTGGGGTGGGAGGCCCAGTCAGACTCGTTCGTTTGAAGGTAGAAGGCAATGTCGGCGGAAAGACTGGCCGCACGAGAAAGTAGGGTAGGGTTGTGGATAGAAGATAGAACTGGATGAGAAACATGTTTCCCGAGAGCGCGTTCCAGCGTGCTTCAGTCAAATCAACGCTATTTCAGATGACTACGTCGCATGTACCACTCACTCGTATACGTGCCACAGCATCATGAGGAAATGCACGTATTCAGGCTCGTCGAGCTCCCCTCGCGCCAGACGTCCGGCTCCTTGACTCTTCTCGACCTGCTCGTGCAATGCAGCAGTCCCCGAACGCAGAAGGGTGGACAGGGGCAAGGAGAGGTCCTGATCGGCCACAGTTCGGGTCGACATTGTGCGGCAGGATAAGGGATGAGTGGAAGGATAGTGGGGGAATAAGGAGAGGCGGAACGAAGTATTAGAGTCGCAAAGACCTATATACCGCCAGCACAGCTGTCGGAGGACGAGTGGCAAATGGAATACAAATATCTCTGAAGAAAGAACGCGGCAGAATGGCGTGCCCTGCCAGGGCCATTCTCTCGGATCTAATCTAATCAATATCCCGTTATCTGATAATGGTAAGATATCTCTCCAAATATGGCTGCGAATCGAAGTGTTTGCAATCTCGTCATTCAGTGACCCCAAACTAACTTGATCTAACACAATATATTCACACCCCATAATAGGGTGGGATAAACTAGCAAGTACATGCAAAGTAGAGGATGTTACGAATGATGCTCAAAATAGTAGTCCGAAGCCTCGGGACCGAACGGCAGGAGCGCTGTGCACTCAGGGCATCTCAGCGGCAAATAACTGCACAGCGAAGCACGGACTGTCAGCTACCCATAAATGGTCTATATGTTAGACCACATACCCTGGACACCTGAACAGCTGCGGTCTTCAAGACAGGTGGGGTCGAGAGCGGTCGGACCAGCGTCCTTGCGCACGAGGATGCAGGTACGATGTCAGCCTCTGCAGCCTCCCCGTCGACATCGGGAGGATCTCGTTCGAGCAGACTGTCGCCACTCAGCGTCCTGTGCGCCGAATATCCCCGATCCACAAGTTCCGGGCCTTGCGGCGGAATGATGCGAAGTCCTGGCACGCGCAACTGCTGGACCCGAGTTAGGCCAGAGGGTCCCTCAGATGGACACGTCTGTGATGGAAGCAGAGATATTAGGGGAGTGCGAGAATCTTCATGATCTTCCGAGATGACTTCTTGGCCGCACGTATAGGGTTGAAGTTCCCAAAGCGAAGAGTGCTCCCAAGATGGGGAGAATACCCACGACGGGGACTGTGCCCAAGTCGGGGAGAGGGTCCAGGACGGGGAGAGCTGGACAGGTGGGGAGGTCAATGGCTTTCCGGGGACCTTTGACCCTTCAGCATCGTCATATCCTTTATACAACGCAGAGATCTCAATGTCTGGTGCCTTGGAGTTCAAGGGTGATCACTCGACTGACCGTTGGGGTGGGCAAATCTACAGTCGTCTCCGTCAACACAATGTCCGGCCAAGTAGTCCCTGCAGATCTCCCCTGGAATTTACCGCATTAGAAGATGTGAGATGCAGCAAGACTGTGAAAGCGCTTACTCTGTCCACTCATCATGACACCGCCGCCAATCACACGCCAAGTGATAGGATAGTAATTCTGATGGCGGCTGGCTTCGAGAGGACTGACAGGCTTCTTCGGAAGCAAGCGGTGTTGCTGCTGCTGCATTCTGCTCCTGCCATTGTCCTGTGCGGATGTATGCGCTAGCGAGGACAATGGACTGGGCGATTCAACGATCGGGGCCCGTAAAGGCGGTGAAGAGTTAGCCTCGTGTATGCTGGATAATTGCCGTTGAGCTTTCGGTCCGAGAGAATTGAGCGAGTGCTTACAATGTGCATTTGTCGCCTTTGATACAAGAACCCCTCTCGTGGAAGAATTTGCATGGCTTAGCTGTCGTTGTGTAGTGGATTAGAGAGACAGAATGCAAGCAAAGAGAATCACGCACTCTTGTAATAAATGCCGCGCCTCTGGGCACGGGGCTGCACTCCAGGGGAAGGTAGAGATGAGCGGCGTTGCAAAACAATCGGCGACGAGAAGCTGCCACTGGATGGGATGGTAGACGGCAGCGATGTCCGACGCAGAGTGACAAGTGGAGATCCCAAGGCGCTACTGGACGCAGCGGAGGATGGGGACGTGGGTATATCGAGCCAGCAGCAGGACGGCTCTGTCGAATCGTCGAAGGAGATGGGGGTCGCAGGCGGAGGTGGCGGGCAAGCAGCGCTCGCATCGCGAGGGGTATCAGTTTGCCAGGTGTCCATGAGCGTGGCAAGCAAAGCATCGTCAATTGACAAGTTCGATTCGCTCGAAAACGAGGTGTCTTCGCTACTAGTCCCGGACACTAGAGACGGACTAGGCTGCAAGCGGAGAGGGGTTGGGAGAGGGATACCCTGAGGCCCCTGAAAGAATACAGGGGCGAAATTCGGTTGTGGAAAATCGAGAGTTGTATTTTGAGGATTGATGTGGATGTATGCGCAATGGGGACCAGATCGACAATGCCCTGAGGCATAGCTGCGGCATACTTTCGCTGAGACTATCATGAGGACAACTCTTCTTTGAAGATGCAATCACTGATACTCACTGCGGAACCCGGGTGACTGTGCAGGGCCGAAGGCGAACGGCTGGGATGCCTCACACTGGACAAACATCGTGAAGGTATCTACGTCGACGTCGTACGCAACGTCGGAATGGGCAAAGGGGTATAAACTGTCGCAAGTGGCTGTTAGAATTAGTAGCACAAATGCAAATCGCCGGATGGAGTCTGTCGGCCAGTATTGGGAAATCAGGAGCAGAACAAAGGGATAACAACGCATATACACACCGACAAGAAGATCGCGATTGCCAAACCTGTCGAAGAGCAGGAAGAATCGAAAGCGCACCCTCCCGACCTCGACTGTGCTGCCTTATATCCAGACGCGCCCTGAGACGAGAACGGAGAACAATGTCAAGAAATGCTTAGTCACCGACGAGCTTGCTCGCCCCTTTTTGTCAAGAGACGCATCGCCGATGATAGCCTAGACTCCCGAAGGTGAGCAGACAATAAAAATCGACACAGTCGGCGAAGGTTATCAGTTGATGCCTACCACGTTGCCCGGGCAATTGTCCCACTGAAGCGCAGCGCAGCGGAGACGATACGTGATATTAGATTGTGGGCATGTGGAGCCGGACACTTGACCTAGCCTTTCATTCGTATTCGGCAGGAACGTGTGTATTCAAGGGGTACACGCGTTGAGGGATGTTGCGCCATGCGCAGAGTATAACACAGAATAACAGAGTCTGAATTCAGGAGGATGTTTCCACCTGGACGGAGAACAATAAAGGCAGCTAGACCATATGTAGATGTACGGACTCACCTCGGCTGAAGAACCGGTTTGTTTAGCGATCAAGTCATCACTTCCATGCAGATCCTAGAAAGCTGGTCGAAGATGCGCTTTCTTGTTGAGGGGCGAGTCGTTCGAGCAGGTCTTATATATACACATGTGTAAACTTCTGATGCAAACAGGCAGAAGACAAGGTATCGAGGGGGTGAGATCAGATCTCTATGATCCAAGGCACGCAATAAGAATCGTCAACAAGAAAACGAAGTCGAGAAAGAAAGGTAGTGGCGGTGGCGAGAAGGCTCCTTAAAGTGATTGCGCAATATGATACGGATTCCCCATCGCCACATGCATACGCATGTAATCACATCTGCGGAAAGGTTTGGTCAGAGCGAGGCTGAGCCCGGTTGAGTATAGAAGTAACGGCTTGAAGAGCGACGTTCGGTATAAGCAACACGTCGAAGAGGGGATTAAGAATTTCCACAATGGCGAAGCACCTGTGATACACAGAATGATACAAACAGCTCGTCAGAAAGCGCAAGTTATACAGATACAGTACGGTATGTTCATATGTTTATTATGGGAGAGGGCGTTGACAAATGTCGCTGATCATGAGGAAGTGTCGTATGAATGCATACTGTTGTCTTGCAACAGCGGCGTCCGATCGGAGATGGGCGAATGTGCGGGGATAGGGACGGAGTCCGGAGTAGGCTGTGGTGTGTTGGGATTGGGCTGACATTGTACGTGGTTGGCGGGTGGGTGAGGCCGTGTTACGTCCATCTTGCAGACCGGACACTAAGAGTAGCGTCAAGCGTTAGCGCTCTGTAAGGAACCTTTAACGGCATTACGTACCAGCTTCTTCTTGTGTATTAGCCACTCATCGATTTCGTCGGCATGAAAGATATGGTAGCATGGCAAGACTCGTATGCGATCGCCTGGAGCGAAGAGTTCCAGGCATATCGCGCATTCTACCTGCTCGTCTGCCCAGGCAGGTAGGGGCCTGTCGCACGAAGTAGACGCATGCTCGAGAGCCGGTTCTGGCGATTCCGTAAGACCTTGCTCAAGTTCCGGCCCAGATACAAACGAGTTGGTCATGAGGGGGATGTCGGTCCCGTCCTTCTCTCGCCCCGTCCCTGCCCCGGTCCAGATACGGCACGGGAAGTTGTGCACGACGTCTTCTGGAGCACGATCGCGCTGTGCTGCACGAGCAGCGCGGTAACGGTGTATGAGGAGTGTTATGAACGTGAGTAAAGATGGGAGCAGGAGAATGAAGACGAAAGTGACGATGGGCCTATATTGATCCGATCATTCAATGTCATGTCCCACTACAATAGGAAGACCTACGAGTACCATTCCCAAGGAGAATACTCTGTGCTGAGCAGGAGAGACAGCGTCTTCAGGCCAGCATGTGTGGTATTCGAGTTTGCGATCATGGACAGCAATTCGACATAGTCCCAATATTTGATGAACGTGGCCGCAATCGTCACGTCAGACGAGTCGCCTGCGGCAACGTGGGTGAAGTGTCACAAGAAAGGGGGAATCATGACGCACGCTCACTATACATGTTGAGCAAGGCATCGGGGCTGTCGCCGCTACCACCGACCACCACGGCTTTCGCGCCCAGTCTTTGCGCCTGGCGAGCCTTCTCAATGAAGGGACAGCCACCTCTCTGCACTAGGGCAATCCATGTCTCCGTCGGATCAGGTTGGTAAGGTCCTACGGCGCAAAGATCGGGACACCCCAAGACAGCATCGGGTCGACTCCAGAGGGATAGAGAAGCCGTCAGATTTAGACAAGGTGCAGTGAAGGACGACAAAGGAATCACATAGCCGAGAAGAGGGTCGGGCAGTTCTGCACCAAAAGAGGCGGGGCGTGCTGGGAAGGTAATTGCAGGCGACCTGTCTACGACCGAGACGGTGCCGTCTGAGGCCCATGCCCAACCCCAGAGCCAGCTGCCGTCCTCCCTAGCGGCATTGGAGAACTTGCGCAACCAGTCGACCGGGTGAGACTGGACCGGCGCACAGAAAATGAAAATAGCGAGGAGGGGGAAAATATGGATCATGCCAATTGTGCAGAGGGAGAAGGGCCAGTAGGCTGCAGGGTATATGACATGCGTCGGACTTTGCCGAGTGCAATCTTGGCCTTGCTGGTGGCGGCTGGCCAGCGCCTCAAGGTTCATGGTCGCGCACGCAATTGACGTCGCTGCAGGCCAGAGGCACATGGAATCTACCGGCACATGCACAACTCTTACGGCACCGAGGGGTCATCGGTCAAAGCTGTTATCGGTCGTGATGCAATGTATTGTATGTGCACAGCGATATGGAATATGCAGTAGGTATTGCTACACTCCTATTATATAGTTTGTCAGTACCGTAGAGTATGCATACAGGATGTCCGTGAGTATTGCAACAAGAGGAAGATGCGAGAACAATCACGCCGGCGCGTCACGGTGGAGCGTACGCGGGCACGCGAAGGTCCAGGAACTCGTCTTCTGGACTCAGGGCGATCGAGTAGTCCGAGGCTGCGAACGCCTGTCCCGTGCCATCCATAGACCACGGGTCAGTCGTCAAGCGAATAGGGACCACCTGGCGGAGCTCGCCAAACGGCGCTTTCAGTGGCTCGGGCGGGGTCATCGAGAGGACAATGAAGTCCTTGATCGTTAGGCCGCCCGCCTTGAACCCTCCGATCCTGGTCTGAGGGCTCACGCGGATCTCGCCAGAGAATGACATCCAGCTCGGCCCATCGCCCTTGGAGGAATGAGTGAATAGGCACAGCACAGCACACATGGATGTGGGAACCCTGCTTACCTCATGTTGAAATACGGCCTGTCCAATCTCGACAGTGCGCCACATGTCCGTCTTCGCGCCGATCAGCACGGCGTTACTGAAATATTAAGGCTCGACAGCATTGAGAGACAAGGTCATAGGGAGCTTACCGAACATCAACGCTGGTCTGTCGGATTAGCTGAACACGAGTATGCTGCCGGGACATGCGGCTTGGAGGCAGAGGTGCGAACGGTAGGAAGGCCGCCAGAGCCTTAGCAGATGAGGTGTATGTCAGATAAAATGGTATGGGCTCTGCCATGCAAAAGACCCTGGATGATGGGATGTAGAACTAAAACGGGACACGATAAGTAATTGAAGCCTGCTACTGCCCCTTCACATACCTTTGCCAATACACCCCTGCTGTTGGGCGTCCTAGCTGACATAAGAGATTCAAAGCAGCGCCAGTCAGAGGTCTCCATTGGTGTCGGCGAGGATGAGTCGTGCTGCATTCTGGGAGGAAGAGGCACGGCAGGACGCGAGCGCGGATAGTAGACGAATGGCGTGGAGACGATGCTGGTAAAGATATGTTAGCGCCACGTTTAGACTAGCGACTACCTATGTATTACTTGTTCCCTGGGCGCAGCAGACTTGAGGACTTGGTTCTGGAGATGAGGGCGCTCACCGAGTATTCGATGTCGGCGTGGAATCCTGGAACACCAGACATGTGGGCTTCGTGCGTGGGCGGTAGTGGCTGTGCCCGTGGTCAGACCGCAGAGGCTCCGAGGAGATGGTCTCAATGACGTACATAGACTTCCCGCCCATCCGAGAAAGTGGTCGGAAGGGTGATGCTGAATGGGAGTGAGGGCGGGCACTGGCCGGCACGATGATCACGAGTCCAGAGGGTTTGCACAGACAGAACCAGCCTGTGTGCGGTATTACCTCCCTCGGCTACCTCCTTAAGCCGCAGGGTGCCTTCTATCTAGATGGGTATAAGCAAGCACAGCGTTCCGTCCGGGATCGGTGGGCGAACCTTGACTTCGACGCTGGTTACGCCGTCCGGCTTGGCGACGATGATGGAACCTTCGACGGAGTCTCCGCATCCATAGACAGGCAGAGTGATGTTGTCATCTTGCTCAACAAGGCGGAGGCTTACGCCGCCAGACCGGGACTGCTTTACAAAGTCGGTGGAAGGCCGCTGACGGAGGCGGTTAAGTGCGAGGCGCTGCTCATAGGCCTGGGGCTCGGCCGAGTATGTCGGGGTGGGGTTCACGGAGGGCGGCCTGTAGCCAGGGAGGCTGGAGGTCGACATGGAAGGGACAGAGTCGACGGCAAACGCATGGATGTTCTTGAGTCATCCTGGAGGAGAGAAGATGCCGCTCAGCGAGTTGTGTCCATATGGACTCTACCCGGCATTGCGTCGGAGAGCCCGGGTGCATGTGCAAATGCACAGTTTATCTCCGGGATCCCTTGCCAAGCGTCCGAGATGCAGCGTGTGCAGGTAACCGTGGTGCAGAATTCGCGCAGAACCACGCCTTATTCGCGCCCGAAACAACTCAGCATCTCGGCGCGCGCGAGCACTCGCGGCGACAGCCACAGCCTGCGGCGTCCGCTTCGCCGCACTCGGTCGCCGCACTCCCAAAATACTGCTCTTCCCTTGTGCCCTCGATAGCCGCCATGTGTATCCTCTCGCACGATGGTTCTCCCCGCCTTCTCAGTCAAGCACACGGTGGCGCCCGGTAGCCCCGGCCACAATGACTCGACTGGGAGCAACATGGTTGTGGAGAGCTGCTACACTATACATCCATAGCATCAATCATCGTACAGCAATGCGAACACCTCCTTGCAAGCCCACAGCGTCACTCGCAGCCGCTGGGGTGCCCACGAGGCATCGGTGATACTTCCCCACCTTGCGGGGGAATCCCACGACTAGCCACCCTACTTTTGGGTCCTCAGCTCCGCTACGGGTTGTGCGGAGGGACAGCCATGCGATTCAGTGGTCAGGCGTATTGGGATCGTCTCACACAATGTCATAAACTGTAGCCGCGACGCGTCCGGAGGCTTGATCGAGACAACGATACTGTCCTACGTGCTGTTGTAAGTCTTGCACGAGGTGGATCGCGCACGAACGTCTTGCTCACCGAGACACTTAGCGCATTAGTCAGGAATCCACCGCAGCTGATATATGGAGCGACAGTGATAACCCCGGACCAAGTGACCGAGGTCAAGGTCTTGTTAGTGCTGTGGATCACACCGTGGCCGATGGTCCTCGTGGAAGTTATGTGGCCGTCCACCGCGGGGTATGACCCAGCTGCATCGAGCCCATTGACACTCGTGGTTCGTTGAATGCAGATCCGGAGCGGCGGACTAGACGCGCCGTTTATCAAGGCAAACTGGTGCTGCATAGCGTTCAAGGCGGAGCTCGGATAAGCCAGCGGATGGAATGATGCGGTCGATGGACGATACGATGTGAACGGGCCCAGCAGATCGTCTGAGGCAACTAGCGTGACGAAGAAGGGAATAGATTCCCTCATGCAACATATCTGTGATGACGGTAAAAATACCTGGAGTGCAATACATTACACAATGGACACCGGACAGATGCTCGGTGACTAACATGTGCCTCAATGTGCCGCCGGGCGGAATGTCGGGCTTCAACATGAAATGTGAATAGGGTTCTCGGGGCAGCCGACGTCTTGACCGATCGCATTCCGAAGGGCCCTGCCAAGGAGGGGCGCGTATGCTGCTGCACCAGGAACGGGACCCGAAGTCTATCCGAGTTTTCAGTCATGTGCATCGGGTGAAGTTGAACGAACCTGGCCTACCGAGTTCTTTTCCGCCACAAAGGTATCGTGCGCACGGCTCGCAGTACTTGAACGGTGAATTGATATGATACATGGGCAGTATAACCAGGCATACTGGTGAGGTGAGCTTCATAGGTAGGAGGTAATGGTAGTTGTCCATTGGAACCATCATAATAGTTTGTTGGGAGTGTATATCGGACAGGAACTTCTGGGGGAAGTGCTAATCCCTGTTTTGCGTCCCAGCTGTACAACATTTCATGGAAGAGCTCTCGCTCTATCGCTCCCGAGCCGGCGACCTCGTAAATCTTGATACGTCCACAAACCTGCGAGACATTTATTATTGCAACGGCGCGCAAGTCAAGGAAGTGTGACGGCTCACCTCGACTACTAACGACTGTAGCGCAGCAGGACGAGCTATGCGGAGAAACCCATGTATCGTCTCCCCGGCTCGATAAGCGGTTGATGGTGTGTCTCCCTCATGTTCTGCAAGCAGAAAGGTCACCTCGTTCGAGCGTTTCGTAGAATAGTTCCTGACCAAGCTTGTGGCTGAGGGTGCAGGGAGAATGGGGGGCCCCTTCACCGGGGCAAGAGCGTCCGGTCTCACGCCAAGCGAATGTTCAGAGTCGGTGAAATCCTCCACCGAGAGTGAACTCGCGTAGTACTGAACGTTGGCAAAGGGGTGGCGCATGAGGCCCTCGATAGTCGTGGAGGCCGGGCAAGCAGGTATAAATGGTTGCAGACCGCTTCATAAGCTTTGTCATGGGGCTTCACTTATTGCATAAAGCGCTGGACATCTTCATGATGAAGGGTCGAGGCCGTGATGAACATTATCATAAGAAGTCCACACTGCCATCATCCTTTCGATTGCATTTCAGCTTATCCACGGTTCTCAGCCGACTACACTCGGTCCCAGCAAAGCACACGTACCTCAAGTCGTATTCGCATAAGAAGGAACTTTGTGGTCGAGGATGACTGCTGGTTTTGCGTTGATGGACTTTATACTGAACTGATACAATGCAGCTACGTGATAATCACCATCACTGCCATATGAAAATGCGGGGATTTATCATTCAAGTCCCAACATGATGTCGTCCATGATCCATGATGCTCGGGGGCGGGAGACAAAATGCTGTCGAGGTCGCAGACGAAGACGATAAGAGTGCCACGGGAAGCGCAAGCTAGACCCAGAGCGCCCACATTCACCCACACGTGGTTTTCAGGCCATCGTCAATTGTAACGCCGTCGTCTTGTCCTTCACCAAAGTTTTGGCTGAATGGCCGCTGCCAAACGAGCCGACAGCAAGCAGCATCCACCGTCTGTCTCCATATCGAAGGCTCTCGCCTCTGCGTCTTCTCTTGTCCTATTACAGTTCTGCTCGCGTATCTTCACGTTCATTCTGAACCAAGCTCTCGTACGATTGGTCTCGCCACAAGTATTTGGCACCGCTGCTATTCAATTTGAACTCCTTCTCTCAACCATCCTCTTCCTGTCGCGCGAGGGATTCCGCAATGCGCTTCTCCGCACGCCCACCGCGAAGGAGGCCAGCAAAGATCATCGAGCCCTCACCGACAATATCGCAGCCCTACCAGTCCTCATAGGCATGCCTGCGGCTTTGCTGATCAGTTTGGTGTATGTCAACGCTGCATCATTGTCTACGACCTCGCAGTCGCACTTCTACGCTAGCGTAACCCTATATGCTATGGCAGCGGCTCTTGAGCTGCTTTCAGAACCCCTCTACATTCGCGCTCAGAATGATGTCCGTGTCGACCTGCGCGTCAAGGCCGAGGGAATAGCCGTGATCATGAAGACATTGATCACCTTTGTTATTCTGGTCACCGGGTCGGCCAATGTTGCTCTCCTGGCGTTCGCTGCCGGACAGGCGGCGTACAGTCTCGCTCTCCTTGGAACGTATATGCGCGACTACAAGCAGCCTCCACTGTTCTGGCCTCACAAGGTCGTGCTAGAAGTTCATGGCAAGTGTGTGCTCTCCTTGTGTGTCGTTGCATGTTGCTCACTATGCCGTAGGACGGAGACACGATACTTTGACCCTGGCCTCCTGCACCTGTCTGCTGCGATGTCCGGTCAATCTGTAGTCAAGCACTTTCTGACCGAAGGGGACAAATTTTTGGTTTCCCGTCTCAGCCCGCTGGCAGATCAGGGTGGTTATGCTATTGCTTCCAATTATGGTGCGCATCTGCGCTCACGCCATTAGCTGTGGTATCACTCACATTTCGTGCAGGCTCCCTCGCTGCACGGATCGTTTTCCAACCTATCGAGGAGACCTCCCGTCTCTTCTTCTCCAAGACGCTGTCATCATCGAAGGACATGGAGTCCCTTCGCGTTGCAGCGAATGTTCTGTCAGGCGTGCTGCTCCTGTTCACACACCTCCTCCTTTTGCTGGTAACATTTGGCCCGCCGTACCTCGCACTTGCCGTCTCTCTTGTGCTCCCACAAAAATACCAGGGCACCTCTGCTCCTGCGATATTGGGCGTCTACATATACTACATCCCCATGATGGCCTTCAACGGTGTTCTTGAGGCCTTCTTCGCCTCGGTTTCGTCCCCCGAGGACCTGGGCACACAGAGCAAGTGGATGTTCGGATTTTCCTTCGGGTACATCTTCGGCGCCATAACCTTAGCGAAGGGGCTTGGTCTAGGTGATACTGGCCTCGTGTGGGCAAACGTGGTAAACCTCCTGTTCCGTGCCATTTATGCCTGGATGTATGCGCGGCGGTTCTTTGCTGCACGCGGAGGGCGGAGCTTTCTCGATTGGCAGCGGGTAGTACCTCCGCTACCCGTCCTTGTGACGTTTGTAGCGTCCGCTGTAATCACGAGATGGAGTGAGATGAGGTCGAGGGATATACCGTTACAACTTGGGGCACAGGCAGGACACGTCGCATTGGGCATGTGTGGTGTTGTCGCGTGTGTGGTTACATGGTGAGCGGTGTGCGTTCAGTGCATAGCCTAGCTAATGTTTTGCTCAGTGCCGTGTTTGAGAGGGCAACCCTACTTCAGACAGTCGCGGTTCTCCGTAGACGCTAGTCTCGTGTACATACCTTCGGGTTGATTAACACAACAGCTTGACGCGTGTGCGCAATGCCGACCTGACTGCAAACACGACATTTGACCAGAATAGAAGGTATGACGTCAACACTGCAACTCCACTCTTGGTTGGACAAGGTCTCGCGCATTCTTCCTCCTTTCTCTGACTTTGAAGACCTTTTAATTTCGGCATACTTACCAGTCGACATTGCACCATGACATCTATCGCAGATATCCCAGAGAAGGTCAGTCCCCCCAGTGCCGGTTGCTCTTCCAGCATTCGTCTGATGCAAGAACCAGCAGCCGAATGCTTCCCCAACCACACAGAATGACGCTGGCCCCATACAACAGCCGGCAGCAACTGCCAATATCGACAAGGTGGACTCTACTACTCAAAGTTCGTGGTGGTTCTCGCCCAGCTTCCGGACCGTCGCTAAACATTATTTGGTAGCATCGGCGAATAGTACTCCTCAAGTGGTTGTGGTCCAGCAGAGGAAGCCGTCGTTCAAAGAAGAGGTCGTAGGCAAGTGCCAATAAATGTGCATCGCTATTGCTATCAGTAACATTATGTGGTATTCAGGTTACGCCAAGGTGAGTTCCCAAGGGGTGCAATTCTACTTCGCTGATTCGCACCCATGGACTAGGAGATCAGAGGAACGGTGAGAATCCCTAAATTTTTATTTTTGAATGCCAAACCTGTACTGACCTTTTTCTAGATTCTCCGTAAGCCGGAGACGAAGGAGCATGGAGAGAAGATCCTCAGCGGCGAAGCTTCCTTCAATCCCAAGCAACGCGAGTAATCGAGACATTATTCACGCATGTTTTGATTTCAGATGTATCTTCCTACCGAGGGACGTTGCGAAGTAGGATTGGATGTTCATGTATTACTGTATAATATTGGCGCATTTTATCATATAGCTAAATTTGTCGACGTGGTAGCGCTTGGAACAGACTCAGGCGTTGAGCCGGATGCATGGGAACTCCGCTACTCTTGCTTAGCTTCATCGTCGGCTGTACTATAGGCTACCTACAATCTTGCTTCTGCTCAGTGCCAATGGCTCTTGTCGCGTCAGGTCACCGTTTGACCAATTCTCTCGAGCCTCATGTCGGCGTTGTGACTCATCGGACCACCGCATGTGGACCCTGTCTTCTTAGCCAGCCACTTTCGTCCTGAGACCTTATCCTCCGCCGTTAGCCTTCCACAGTCCTACGTTGACTTGTCTCTCTCTGACTAGCTGTAATGACTATTATTCAATCGCGTTCCCATCCCGCAACTCCGGAAGCACAGGAAGAGGATGTTGCCCTTACATGCTCAGCCACTCATAGTACGAATCCGGTGATTGAAACTTGTTTGTATGCGTTCAAAGTAAGCCCTCGTGACGTTGTGCAACGACTTTTAACGAACTGTTCGTAATGGCGGGAAGGCCACGGGCCTCGTTTCTCTGAATGAGACCGGGATTAAAGACGCTGCGCGATATGTCAGTCTATTCTCATTTCTGACCGTAGTTTCCTCCCAACTAAGTCAATTTGCAGATCTATGACAGGCTCTGCGCAGAAGACTACACGCCTAGGACGTGGAGGACGCATTCGCTCCATCTGCTCCCACCGGAGCCTTACGCCCCGGATGATCCTTTGACGAAAGGATGCCTAGACTGGATTTTCGTCGTTTCGTCCCTCAACTTCAGCTTTTGGTCTGAGCGAGAAGGAACACCGGAACGCTATGGAGTAGAATGGCGGACAGGGTGGGGTTCGGATGAAAGGATGGTGCACACGGGATATTGGTCTCTCGTGGCCGCCTTGGATCGAGGTAAGGTTGCACCTGTGCGTCGCTGTCACACGAGATGAAAACCTGTACCAGCTCTGGAAGAGGGGTTGCCCATTACAGACCCGAAGTTCTATTCTTCGGAGGAATGTTGTCCTGATTCCCTGCTCGACCATGTGTTCCGCCCGGCACCGCAATCCAAGGAACCCATCCCTCTATTACGTGAACGTATCGCCATTCTGCGAGAAGTGGGGAGAATTCTCTGTACCGTAAGTTAGCTCGTGCCTAGTGTGTAGCAGTCGCTGACGTAGCTTACATCTTTAGCACTTCGAGGGATCCTTTCAAGGATTCTTGGCGCAGTTTCTTTGTCGCTACGATGGTCGTGGTACTGCCTTTCAGCTGGTTGAGATGATCATCGAATACTTTCCTCCTTTCCGTGACCAAATGTGGTACGAAGGGCGTCAAGGTCAGTCTGTATCTTCGCATAGTATCCACATATTCCACTCACTGTCCTGGCCAGTCTTCCTGTGGAAACGTGCACAAATCCTTGTGGCTGAGACATGGGCAGCCTTCACTCCGTCATCACCACGCACTTCCCACCCTTTCTTCCCACATGGAGCTGCTATCGAAGTACTTACCATGTTTGCCGACTATCGGGTCCCGCAGATCTTGCATCACCTCCAAGTCTTGACATATCCCCCTGCCCTCATGAAGACCCTCCAATCGCATGCAGCCCTTGCTTCTGGAAGCAGAGAAGAAATCAGTATTCGCTCTGCAGGCATAGTTGCTGTTGACAGGCTAAGACAGTATATTCTCCAACTTCAAAGGGAGGATCATGATGGAGACAGGCATTTCAATGTGAGCAGTGTTATTATTGATTTTTACTTGTGGGATTTAGCAAAATGGCTTGAGGGAAAGAAAAGAAGGGTGGAAGGTATTAGAACATGTGACATTTTGCCAGCACATAGAACTAGAAGTATATGGTATTGATGTGTCAACACTCCCCCTCAAGCTGTACGAAGGCCCAGGAGGCGTGCGAGGACCTCGACCTTGTGACGCACGAGCGGCTTGGTCAGGATGTCCGCGACCATCTTGCCCGTCGGACAGTACTCCAGCACCACATGTCCCGAGGCGATCACATCCCGAATGAAATGATACCGGATGTCGATATGTTTCGTGCGGGCGTTCAACATACCGCTCTTGGCTATAGTGATCGTGCTCTGGTTGTCAGACAGTAGGGGTGTAGGGAGTGTGAGCGGCGAGGTAAGTTCGGCGAGAAGTGACCGTAACCAGAGGAGTTCGCGTGAGGAGTTGGAGACAGATATGTACTCGGCTTCCGTAGATGATAGTGCAACAATTGGCTGCTTTCGGGAGCTCCAGCTGATGATGCCACCATTGTACAGGAAGGTGTAGCCAGAGATCGAATGATGGTGATGTTGCGATGCCCAGTCTGCGTCGGAATATCCTACAAGGCCATCTGCAGAGTGGCCAAATGAGAGACACAAGTCTTGCGTACCCTTCAGGTAACGAAGAACATGCTTGGCTGCCTCCCAATGAGCAGGCGCAGGGTTGGTCATGAAGTGAGCGAGTGTGGAGACCGTGAAAGCAATGTCCGGACAGGTGCCTATTGCAGCATACATGAGGCTGCCAATCAAGCGAGCGTAGGGCTTCCCAGACATTGCACGTTGATCATCTTCGGAGGTCTCGATGCGGAAGAGGTCGATGTGAGGGTCAAGTGGTATTGTGAGCATGTAAGTGTCAGTCATACCGAAACAAGCGAGTAGGGTGTCTATGTAGGTGGCCTGTGAGAGCGAGATGGTGCGTGCAGTGTGATCACGCTGCACTTCGAATCCGAGCACCCAGCAGAGCTCACCCAGGTCCGCAATCTCAAAGCGAGCAGCAAGCTCCGTCTTGAGTGTGAACATGACATTGTCGGAGTTGGTGATCAGGATGGAGTTATCAACATGAACTGTGATGATGATGACCTGGTTTGCCTTGAAGAGGAAAAACACACCTAGGTCGAACTTGCTTCATACAAGGCCAAGTTTGGCCATAAGGGCGCATACCTCCTCATACCACTGCCGAGCTGACTGCTTGAGGCCGTAAAGGGCTTTGAGTAGTCTCCACACCCAATCCTCTTTGCCCGTAGCCTTGAAACCCGGAGGCTGTCACATGTAGACTGTCTCGTCGAGCTTACCATTGAGGTAAGCATTCTTGAAGTCTATTTGATGAACCTCCCAATTGTGAGCGGCAGCGAGGGCAAGTACATGGCGGATGGAGCTAAGTGTTGAAATGCGCTGACCCGTGTGGTCAGGAATGAGCTCGAAAGCTTGGGCGCGCAAGTAGCTGGGGGCCGGAGGCACCTATCGTAGTATATAACGACCGCACGCGATGTACATACACTACGCGATTGTCCCTTACGGGCATCGCTACGCCCATGGACAAACGCGCCCCGCGCCGTTCGCACCCTTGTTCCAACACAATCACATCAGCCCGCTTGGGGGTGTACTACCAAGCAAAGCTCTGGGGGCAGCTTGAAGCCCACCGCTCACTGCGTCGCAGGATCCCACGCGCATGCCGTCGCTGTTGACGCTCTGCTGGCCGCCATTGCACTGCAGACCATTCCCGCTGCCGTTGCTGCTGAACCACTCACCTGGATGGGGCTGAAGCCATCTTGATCGACCCCGTATGATTGCCGAACCCTGACATGGACCCGATCGAACCCCGCCATCGAATGTCGAACCCCCGAACCGTTGAACTGCCAAATTGCTCACCAAGAGCATTGTTGAACCGCCGAACCCGAACCGCTCGCCGAGAGCACCTGAATCACTCGCTGAGAGCACTGCCGAACTGAAGAACTGCTCGTTGAGAGCACCAATCGAACCTGGAGCCGAGGAGTTGGAGCCGAGAAGTTGATGCCGAGGAGTTGATGAAGATTGCCGTATGTCGTACACCCTACCTTTGCACCTAAGGGTCGCCCATTGCAGCTCGTTCGAGCATGGACTATCGGCCGGATGTCAGACATGGGGATGGATTGTGGACCTGCCGAGAGGGTGTGAGGATGAATGCTGAGATTGAGGGAGTGCCGAGTGCTGAGAAGCAGGGAGTGCGCGCGAGCCCTCGCTTGCTTCGCTCGAGGGAGTGTGTTGAAATGCACTGACCTGCGTGGTTAGGAACGAGCCCGAAAGCTTGGGCATGTGAGTAGATGAGGGCCGGAGGCACCTATCGTAGTATATAACAACTGCACGCGATGTACATACACTACGCGATTGTCCCTTATGGGCATCACTACGCCCGTGGACAAACACGCCCCGCACCATTCGCACCCTTGTTCCAACACTAAGAGCAGTGGTTGGGGCGGCTGTTTCAACATAGTCAACACTGTACACTTGCGAGAAGCCTTGCGCGCATAAGCGGGCCTTGAACTTGGCAATGTGATTGTGTTCGTCGCATTTCTTCTTCAGTACCCAGGTGCTGCCAACGATATTGGTGTCCACAGGTCTTCCCACAAGCTCATATGTGTCCATAGCCTCGATGCGTGCCAATTCCTCCCTCATAGCGGCTTCCCAGTCTCCGCACTCCGGTCCCGACATGGCCTCATGGTAAGTCGGCTCATCACCTGCCATGGTGGCAAGGCTGTACACAGGTGCATCAGCCGCTTCCTCATCATTTGTGATGCCATGGTCATTGGACACAATGTTTGCATGGTTGACAATGCTCATCGGCAACCTCTGCACGTCACCCCCCCGGCTGTCCCTTTGCCAGTGGTTAAGTCTTGCACCCACTGTGAGGGTGTGCAAGTGCATTGGCTTCGTTGTAAGGTGGGTTGTGCAGCTTCAACAGCCTCTGTCTCCCCCTGAACACTAGCAGGGATAGAGCTCGGAGTGGACAGTGTGCTCTGGGCGATATTGGTAGTGGTCTCCCCCTTGGCCAGAGCAGGGGTAGTAACAGAGGCAGGGGCAGTGTCAGCAGCAAACTGGACATCATGCTCAACGGTGACAGTATGGCGGCCTGGCCAGTAGATGCGGTGAGCTTTGCTCTGGGAATCGAACCCAACCCAATGACCTTTGCATGACTTCAGCTCAAGTTTGGAGGCAGGGTCCACATGAACCCATGCAGCGCTGCCAAAACGAGGTAAGCCGGCAAGGTCTGGCTTCTCACCAGCATGTTCATGTGACATCGAACCAGGAGTGCTGCGTGTCGTGGTGCGATTGCAAAGCCAGACGGCGTGCATTACGGCCTCACCCCACAAAGCCTTTGGCAGGTTGGCATCAAATAACAAGGCATGGGCATGTTCGACAATCGTCCGGTTGAGACACTTGGCCTTGCCATTCTGTTGCGGGGAGTCATGGGATGTCAGGTGTCGAATAGTCCCCTCCCCCTCAAGGAAGGCAGAGAACTCCTCACTGAGAAACTCACCCCCACGATCACTTTACAGCTCCTGCACGGCCACCACACCACACTGGGTCTTGGTCCAGGCAATGTATGCACGGTAACGAGCGAAGGCGTCGCTTTTACGGGACATGAGCATCACAACAGCTTCATCGGAATGATCATCGAGGAAGAGGATGTAGTATTTCTTCCCTGCGAGAGTCTTGACAGGCACTTTGCCCCAGACATCGGTATGAACTTGCATGCCATATGACTTCACAGCAGGGCTAGACCGCAACTACGGGAATGGTTCTCGTGGCTGCTTTGCTTTTGCACAGATCTCACAGAAGACAAGATCCGTATTCTCGAGATGGACACTAACAACAATGTCATCTTGGACCATCTTCTTCAGCGCAGGTGCATAAGCATGTCCCATGCGGCAGTGAAGCTCATGTAATGTGAGTCCAGTGGTTGCGACGAGGGCATGTGTGTGAGCAATGCTGCCGAGACCGGACGTCGGCAGAAGGGGGTAGAGACCCTGTTGTTCAGGTACGATGAACATAGTCTGACCAGAAGAGGACAGTACACAGCAACTGTCTTTCTCAAATTGGACACGGAGACCTGCATGAGCAGCACAACTGATGGAGATGAGGGCATGAGGCATGCTTGGTGCATACAGGATGTCCCGGAGAAGGAACTGTACAGACTTGCCACCATGTACAGTTGTCACACATACATTGCCTTCACCCGTCGCATGGAAGACCCGCCCATTGGCGGAGCTAATCGGCTTCAGTGCGATTTCACGGAACGTGATGAAGTTGTCGTGGCAGGGGTTGAAGTGTCGACTGGCTCCAGAATCGAGGATGCACGTGAGTTGTGGTAGGGACTGTGCAGAGGCCTTCGTAAAGTCCGTGTTTACTGCAAATGCAAATGCGTCAGCAACCTCAACATCTGCAGCAACCTTTGCCGAGGCCTCTCCTGTGCCTTTGCTTCTCCAACTGCAACTATGCCCAGGCCCTTGGCCTTCCTTTCCACCTCCCTTGCTCCAGCAGTCGGGCTTCGTATGTCCAGGCTTTCCGCAGTTGGTGCACTTGACAGAGTCAGCAACTAGCATGGCATTATTGGAAGCTGATGTCTTGAGTGCAAACTCGTCACAGGCGATCACATGGATCTGACGGAGGAGCTCAGCTGGAGAGAGACCAGGAGTGGTGATCACTGCGGGAGATGTGCTTCCGTGAATAGTCTGGGCCTGGGTTGCTGCAGTGAGGTGCATTGTTGAGATGGTGGTGCATATGACTCCTCGATAGGTGAGTGGTAAGCAGGATAGAATGATTGCGTGGTACTCGTTATCGCTCAGGGTCCCTCCCACTGTTGCATACTCTGACCTGAGCTTCTCAAGCTGGTTCAGAGACAGAGTTCTCCGTGCAATGGAGACCATGCATCTGACGAAGCAGCTCAACCTGGACAAATTTGCCTTGGTTGTCGTACTCATCGACAATGGTCTTCCAAGCCTTGGAGGCCTTCTGTAACAGCGCAATGTGGAGCTTGATGGCTTCTGGCAGGGTTTGGAACAGCAAGGTGCATATCATCTGATGTTTCACGACCCACATGTCCTGTGCCGTTTCATACCTCTCATCAGCCCGGAGCTGTCGTGGGGATGGGGACCTTCTTGTGGCCGTCGAGGAACCGCACCAGACCCTTCGCAGAGACGGCCGCCACGAACTGTTCTTTGAATAAGACCCAGTTCGAGCCATCCTCATTTAGCTTCGGGATGCGACTGGTTGTTGTCTCTGGAGAGCTGGGCTAGAATTCGAACATACCGCCGGGGCTCATAACCTCTTAACGAGGTAGAGCGAGAGTCTAATGCGCACTCAGTCAGAGCTTCAGGTGTGTATTGCAACAACTGAAGCTCATCTCAGAAGGTGACATGTATATATCTACGAGAGCACGGTGAGGTATCGTATCTATGGTATCAGGCTAATCTATTATTTCCGGAAAAGAGGTCAGGTCAGAGGCGCCAGGGGCGCGACAACGTCGCGCTGATCCCGACGTGATAGCACAACATCATGTCCATGCGCATCCATGCAGGACGAATGGATGCGCTTGCTGGTCAACTGTCAACAAATGTCAAATGTGTGCTCTGACACATATGAGATGGTTAAGAACCTCTGAATCTATAATATAGATCATGTTCATACCCTTGAAGTAACATATATGAGACTTCATGATTCCATAATAAACCAAGGTCCAATAGCTCAGTGGTAGAGTGCCCAGTGCATTTCTGGTAGATCCTGGGTTCAAACCCTGGTTGTGCTGATCTTTTCATGCAGGTGTTGTGCAGTCAAATTCTGACAGGCAACAGCACTTGTTTCCCATTTCAACTATGGATGCTCATCCTCAAATTCTAAGAGTCCTTCAGCATGAAGATGGGGGAGGAGCACTTGGATGGATGTGCAACCCAAGGAGTGCTCCATTGCAGAGCTTGAAAAGCTGGCAATGAAGGTCACTCTCTGCAATGCTGGGAGGGTGGCCCTAGATAAGACTGGCTACAACACATGAAGAAGATCTGTGGTCTGTGTTGATGACACAAATGAAAAGTCCTGAAACTTGACCTTGCAGATGCTTGCAGTCCAGACCTGCAACAAGGATTATCCAATACTTGTTGTAAGGCAAAACTCCCCAGCACTCCAAGCAAGTGATGCTTGCATTGTCCATTTTGCTGAACACTACTAGTCATGGCAAGTGGTGAATGGTCAGATCTTACAAGTTGGCTGTTTGTGGCTTATGGACACACCCATGTCATTATATAAACACCAGAAGTCGAGACAAAGATGATGGGGCTGCATTTTGCAGCAAGCCAGCCAATGCTCTTGGGTCGCCCCTTATGGTGTGGTGGGACAAATTCCAAAAGAGTGAGCTGATTGCCTGCTGATACCAGTCAGGCTTTCTCTGAGCCGGCAGCATGAATGCAATGCTGAGTGGTCGTATAAGCCGCTTCATAACAGATGCAGAAGATAGCTCCTTGTTTTCAGGATAAATGTAAAGGTCTTCCTCAATCAACATCGTGCACAGATTAGAGAATACATGAATAAATCGCATGAAGGCATCAGGTGTTGTGCCTACCAGCATCCCCACTATCAGTTTTTGCATGGGTGGTGAGAGCAGCATGGATGGTGTGAGGACAAGCACTCTTAGGGTGAGATTAGTGACCTGGGGGAATTGGAAAAGGATGAATGCCAAAGTTTTGCACTGCTCCTGCTACCACTGCCCAGACCAGGATTGGAAGTTTATGAATGTGAGATTTCTGATTATCGCGACCTAGGGTCAAGCAACAGGGGAAGAACAAACCAAAAGGCTGGGAGTGTTTGACTTGGTTGACCAAAGCGATGGTGAGCAAGCTCAAACCTAAGGCTAGGGACAAGAATATATTAGTTATTAAAGAAAATAAAGTAAGTACAGGAGGGCTTACTGACCTAGGGACAAGAGGTTGAAACTGAGGTCCCTAGGACAGCAGAGGCCAGCTTATATATATTGTATATATAGGGGAAGTTTAGGAGAGGCTGTGCGCACTGGTCCATGCACAGCTGGTCCATGTACAGCCTGCTAACGCAGCCCCAGGGGCCAGCGAGTCATAGCAGCTATGTCAGTGGAGTCCGGGCTATGCCGTGCACTGCTGTTCCATCTAATCTAATTGTACAGTAGGTAAGGACTTGTCAGTTCGAGCGTATAGTATAAAGGTCATGAGTTTGAGCCTGTGGAAAGGAAAAAAACAAATGGCTAGACACTGTGTCAACTCGTGACACTACATGTGTACTTGCTTAGCAAGGAGACATGGAACACTGGGTGCACAGGCACCAACTTCGGCAGAAACAACTCATAATCTAAGTCACTAAGCTTTCGTCACACAGCATATGGTCTGAGGTGCTTGGGACTGAGCTTCTTGCTCAGCTGTTTCAGCTTAAGGTTCCAAGCATCAAGCCAGACCTTGTCCCCAGCACAAAGACCGGTGCCTCCTGCACGTGCTTATCATAGTATACTTTCATCCACTCAGCTGACAGCTCAAGCATGGAGCATATATTATCCCAAATCTTCTTCAGGATCTTAAGCTGATCTGTGGCTGTGGGCATTGTGGACATCAGATTGATCCGTACCTGGATCTCAGGGTGGTACCCTTGATGCAGGAAAAAGGGGGAATGCCTGATTGCAGAGTGAACTCAGTTGTTCAGTGCAAACTCTGTAAGCAGCAACTGCCTTGCCCAATCATCCTGTCTGTGGCTTGTGAAAGCACATAGGTACTGCTTGATCTCCTGGTTCCAGCGCTCTGTCTGGCCATATGTCTGAGGGTGGAACACTGTAGACAGTGCCGGCTCGATTCCAAGTTCTTTGTACACCACATGGAGATACTTTGATGCAAACTGGGGACCTCAGTCTAATATGACCTTGGCCGGGGCTCCATGATGCTTGAATATGTTGCAGATATACAAGTCAGCTGCACCTTCTGTCATCAGGGTCTCATGACAGGCAGAGAAGTGGACCTGCTTGGTAAAGCGGTCAGCGGTGACCAGGATTGAGTCGAATCCATCAGACTTCAGCAGGCCAACAATCATAATGGTAGTGATGATCTGCCATGGGTGCTCGAGGATCTCATTCGGCTTTAGTGGACCCTGAGGCTTCACTGGAAACGTCTTGGTATGGTTGCACACATCACAGGTGCTTATATACTCATTGATAAACTTAGACATTCCAGGCCACCAGTAGTTCCATGACACGAGCTCGAGGGTTTTGGCATGACCACCATAACCAGCGATCAGTGAGTTGTGGTGGATCTTGATAATATCCCGCTGGAGTTCCATCCTGCAGAACAGCAAAAGCCCTTGTTCAGCATTCCACTCCTTGAAGCCCTTCTGTAGCTGAGGTGGTCTGGGGTTCTGCACCTTTTCAAGTGCTTCAGCCATGGTCCGATTCTTACCCAAGCATTTTCTGATGCATTTCAGGAGCAATTGATTGGCTGTCACCAAAGTATGACCATGCTGGGTGGAAGTGATGTAGAAGTGTTACTGTTTGAGGACAATCTGATCAGTGTTGTCATCCTCATCGCTAACCTGATGGTCTGATCAATGCGACAGGGCATCAGCCTTTCCATTCAACATTTCAGCTTTATGCATGATGCAGAAATCAAAGTGAGCAAGGAACAGCGACTATTGCACTTGATGACATGTGAGGTGCTATGATGTGTGCCAATACTCAAGGTTCTTATGATCAGTCATGATTTTGAACTGTTTAGACAGTCCCTCGAGGTAGTGGCGCCAATCTTCTAGTGCTTTAATGATTGCAAGCATCTCTTTGTCATAGATTCCATAGTTACACTGGGCAAGGTTCATCACATGAGATCTGAAGGTGACCAGATGCCATTTGCTGTTGTCCTGCTTTTGCATCAGCACACCACCAGTGGCATACCCTGAGGCATCAACCTCAATGCATGTCTCCCAATTGGGGTCGTATAGTACCAGAACTGGGGTTGTGCCAAAAAGCCATTTAAGCTCATCAAAGGCACACTACTCCTCATTGCCCTAGTGCCAGGGGTCATTTCCTATGAGTCAGTTGAGTGGTCGCGAGTTCTTAGTGAAGTCCTTAATGAAGCGGCAGTAGAAGTTGGAGAACCCCCAGAACTTCTGAACATCTTTTTTGTTCTTGGGTACTAGCCACTCATTAATTCCTTTCAACTTTGTGGGATCCACCACTACCTTATCACCACCAAACACATAGCTGATGTAGTCAACTTTGGAAACATTCCACTCACACTTCTCTGGCTTCAGGAATAAATCATGATCCTGAAGGTGACATAGGACCTTGCATGTGACCTTCTCATGCTTCTCCTTATTGGTGGAGAAGATGAGTATGTCATCCAGGTATATGAGGATCTTCCCACCAATGATGAGATCATGGAAGATTTCGTTCATCATGGCTTGGAAGGTTACAGGGAAATTGGTCAGGCTGAAGAACATTACCAGGGGTTTGTGTCACAATGTGCTCTACCACAGTCCCCTGGTTGGCCTCGGACGATCCCCCGGTGGTGGGAGCCACAACACCATGTGACCACATTGTTGTATCAATTGCAGAGCATTCGGACCAGAGCAGAGCTCCAGCCACACTTCTTTTGTTCCTGTGGCCAAGTGGCCTTTGTTCTTCTTTTGGACTCTATTGTCCTTTTCCTTATTGTTCTATCATGAAAATGCTTCCCCCTCCTCATGTATATAAAAACGCGCTGTAGCGACCTGTAATATTACTTCTGTGACCCACTTCAACTTCAGCCCCACTTGTGGCATTCAGTCCCTCAGTGCTAGTGCTACGCAATTGCTCCCTGTGTCACCTTTTGATAGTTTGTATAGCCCCCGATTATTCACAAAGGCAGCCTTCCATTCATCACCGGCTTTGATCCGGACATTGTTGTACCCCCAACTGACATCGAACTTTGTGAAGAGTGACACCTTGGAGCTTATTGACCATCTTAGCAATCAGTGGCAGTGGATAGTGATTTTTAATGGTGATCACATTCAACTGATGGTAGTCTTGTATAGGTCAAAGTGTCCCTTCCTTCTTTTTGATGAAAAACAAGGAGGATGAGATGGGTGACTTCGACTCTTGTATGTAACCTTTCACCAGCTGCTCCTTTAGGAACTTATCCAGTTCCTCCTACTCATTGTTTGATAGCAGATACACCTTTGAGTGGAACATCAAGTAGCCAGGCACAAGTTCAATCACATGATCATATGGCTTTCTTTTGGATAGCTATTCTGATGCTTCCTTGGAGAAGACTTTCAAAAACTCATGGTACTGTTTTGGCACTGACACCTCAGCAGTTTGAACAACCTTCTTCTTGATCTTTTCCTCAACAAACAGCTGGGAGTATGTATGTCCCACTGTGACAAACAGCTGAGGCGCACCTGGAAGCATGACACCTTGCTCCCAGACCTCAATCAAGTCGGCCTTCATCCACTCAATCTCCTCCGGATCATCCTCAGGCACGAAGTCCGGGAGTATCTTACTCTGGCATACACCTATGACTGACAATTTGGACTTTGGCCAACTCCTGCGTACTGTGGGCCTGACCCTCGTATTACGCACAGTTGTTGCTTGCTCCATTCAGCCAGTCTTCCTGGCACTGCACATTTTAGGGCATTGAGACAGCTTGAATGAACCTGTCTCCCAATCTATTTTGGGGTTGTGCTCATGTAGCCAATCAAACCTAATGATCACATCCTCTGGACCTATGTCCATTACTGTAAACACTGTCTTTTCGATGTGATCTCCTGTCTGCATCTGTAGCACAGCTACTTCCAAGATGATTTCATCTTTGTTGAGCATTCCATTGATATTGTAGAGCAGAATTGGTTCCTTCAACTTTCATGTTCATACTCAATTCTCCATGTTGATAAACTTTGTGGTGGCTTCACTGTCCACCATTGCAACTATATCCTTGTGCTGTCTTTCTCCTTTGAGGTGTATAAGAATGTAAAAATGCTAGAACCCATGGTCCAACTCGTAAACATACACAGTTGCAATACATTGTACAGATTATTGTTATGAGGTCCGATGTGTGCGGTACGAAGCATGGACCAGATCAAAAAGACTCCTCCTTCATTGCCCGATAGTGCTCAAGCTCCTTGCACATTGACTTCACCTGTTATGATTTCTGAGGTACAAAGGATGAATTTTATGTAGAGCCTAGCATGCAACAATTAATCGCGCACAAAGTGTGGGAACCCATCAATCAATACAAAATGATAAGAAAAAGTGCCTGTAATTTGGGGTTAGGGGTAGGTTTTGTATACAATGCTTGTTATGTCCACTCTAATTACATTAGAGTTGCTTGTTACCAGTAAAAAAATTCATTAGAAAGTGAAATTCAAACCCAGCTGACACACCTTGACCAAACAACCAAACAAAAGATCATCTTATCAGTTGTCTGATTTGATATTGATTAGTCTTATCAGCTGTTGATCAAGCCTTGATTTGATCATTTCATAGCTGTTCATTTATCATAATGAACTATGTTCTTACTGCATCACAAGCACATAGTTTGATTGTATTAGAGATTTAGGATTAAAATCCCCATTATTGATAACAGACGCATACTCAATAGAAGCAACATATTCACTATATGTGTTTTGTTCAGATCTTGTTTTCCATTTTGTGACTTAAGTAAGCAAGTGTATGCACCAAAACCAGTTGGTATCTTTGATAGTTATAGGCAACACAATTCAATAATAGGTTAATCCAAAACCAATAGAGTGCAGTAAGCCACTTCCATAAAAGGGAATTGCCTTATATAGTAAAGATAATAGTTGTAGAGCACCTTTCCAGGGGTAGGACACCAGTGAATTTATCAAGTGTACAACTATTCATTTATTTACACCAAACTTGCTTTATGCACTACATTCAAATCTGTATTTTGCATTTTGAGGCTTAAGTAAGTAAGCACAAGTGTTGGGACAATTTTTGCCATGCTGAGAGAGTGATGCTCTATGACTTTGGTCTCTACCATATAAGGCAATTTCCTTATATGGAACATTTCTTGTTTTTGTTTCGTAGCTTTTGAATTGAATCAACCTTAATGTGGTAAGTATAACTGTAACAATTTACTGTAATGGCATGACAAAGTATTTGTAATGACCATAAGAAAGTGTTTGTATTGATCATAAGAACTTACTGTAATGATGGTAACAACTTGCTATGATAACCATAACAAAATACTCCAATGATGGTAACAAAGCACTCTAATAATGGTAACAACTCACTCTAATGACTATAAGAACTTACTATATACAGTCATTATCACAAGTTGTGTCAATAATTATATTATGATAAGTATAAGAAAGTTTGACATTGAGTATATAAACATACTCTAATAACATATAAAATCACCCTAATCATAATAATAATCTACTTCAATGTTTATAATAATCATAAGAAGTTGCTTTAATGACTGTAATGATTTCAATGATCATAACAAAGTATTGTTATTGCTATAATGGCCGACTTTATCCATTTAAATGACTCACTCTGAGGTAATTATAGCAAGCTTCTACAAAGATTAAAGCAAGTTGTTACCAGTATTGAAGCCATTCATGTCATTATAACAACTTACACTAATGATCATAACAACTTGCTCTAATGATAATGACAACTCTCTAATGATTATAAGAATCCACTATAATGACCATAAGAAGTTGCTGTAATGATCATAAGAACTCACTCTAATGTGCATAAGAACATATTGTAATCAACATGATAGCTTACTTAATGATCATAACAACCTGCTTAATAACCCTATAACAAAAGGTGCTGTATTGATTATAAGATGTTACTATAATTACCACTACAATGACCCTAAAAAAGTGTTTGTATTGACCATTGGAAGGTATTGTAATGGATATAAGAACTGGTTCTAATGACCATAATAAAGTGTTCCAATGACCCTATAAAGTTGCTTTTATGATAGTAACAAACTACTGTAATGATCATAAGAACCTATTATATATAACATAACAACACACTGTGATCATCATAAGAATGTGTGTGTGAGGCATTATGTGAGCCATCAGAATCTACTTAATGATTGTAAGGAAGTATGCTAATGATGTTACAAATCACTGTAATCCCCATCAGAATCAATTCAATAACCATTAGAATCCGCTCTATTGACTATAAGGGTGTATACTATGCTTGCTGTAATGATGTATTCAAATGAGCATAAGCATCCGCTCTATTGGCTATAAGCACAGGCTGTATTGAGCATAGAAAAATGCTTATACAGCATAAGAATGCAATGTAACAGCAGTCTGTGGCTGGATCAGCCACCCGGAGTTTGAACCCCGGCTTCCCGGCTTCCCTTCGGAGTTCGAAAAAGACGTCAATGGTTCTCAACGCTTGAGAACCATCGACAATATTTATGAACTTCGATCCAGGATGCCGGAATGCTGGAACTGCATGCCTCCCTTAGCTCCTGCACTCTTTTGTAAATAGCTCCTGCACCTGTGGACGGATTTGGCTCAAACTTGGTATGTGCCATCCTTATGGTGTAGCCGAGGTATTTGTAGGCTCACATATGAGGGGGGCAAAAAATAGGCCTTCTGTTTCAATTACAGTGTTAATGGTGTAATAATCATTCTAGCTAAACTAGACTAAAATTGCGGTATTTCTGCAGGCTTCTGGTTATTATATCTGACTGCAGGCTACTATGTGGATTGTGTATGGTATGTATATCCTTCTTCCATGTTGTCTTTAGAGGGGGACACATTATTGAACTAGTATTTCAATCAAAGCTATACCATGGGTTTGATTGCCCTATTAAAGTAAAAAATGCTATCTGAGTGGGATTGACTTGTTTGTTCAATCATATAGAAATGCAAATTGTGTCAATATATCATGTTCTGAACCATTTGTAACAGTTGAAGGTGCAGAAAGACAGTTAGTTAGTTATTTATTTCCATTATAAATCATTATATACAGAAATATAAAAGGGTAAATCTTTGTATCATCTTGGTTTGGATAGTTGGATAGAGTTATAGTTGCAAGCATCCTTAAGTAGAAAAAAGGCTTTTGTTTATCATAATGCATGTTTAAGTGCATACCTTTAATCTCATAAAACAACAATAATGTGATCATGAGAACTTGCTTAGTCATACTTTTTTCCAGGTCAATTGCCACATCACCTTCTGCTCAACGATCCTTGTGTCGACCATTATAACCCTACCTATACTGCAACAATGTTTGTGTCTTCAGCTGCCTTTGTAGTGCTACTACTGCTGTCTTTAGTATATAGTAGCACATATGTTTCTATGAATGCTACATATACAACATCTTCTTTATCCCTTCATAAGATTGTGCTAGCGGATGCACTTTTCAACCAATCCGCACCCAATTTGGGAATGGCTCAGGATAGCATCATTACAAAAACACTTCCAAAACATAAACATCCCAATGCAATAACATTGCCAAACCATGACAAAAAATATAAATCACCACTGTCAAACAGTTCCAATATAAACAATGAATTGCAGGGTAAAGTATTGACTGGCGTACAATCCATTATGTGCGATACAGGTAGAGTATTGGTGAATGTGAACACTTCAAAATGGTCACCCATGCCTTTTCTGGATACAATATTGCCAAATACACCCACACAATGCTTTGTGTATATTGAATGTCAAGTATCCAGTTGCACAGTTAAAATGGTGTCACAAACATATTTCTGCAAATATAATCAAGCATTTTTTAACAAGTACATATTATATACAAAGGCAATTCTATCACTTTACTCTTGTTCAGTTTATCACATTAGCTTTATACAACTTTCATATTTGAAAAGTGTTTATAACCAATTTATGAAACATGATTTTAAAGTTTTACTGTATAGCATTCAAATACACATATGTATCAAAGATATTTCAAGTTATATACATTGTGTTCATTATGTAAATGCCATTTCTGTGAAAGTTAAGTTTAATACTGCATGTACAAATACACTTTTAGGTGGTGGTTCACAGCAGAAAAAATCACATGTATGGTTAGCAGCTGATCTTGTGCAATACACCTTGGATACAACTGATGTAGGGCAGTTTTGCTTGAAATATCAGTATCATGATTATATATTAAGATCTCAGCTTGACAAATATTGTATGCAAGATTGTTTTGTAATTGCAGATATTTCTATGGACATATTAGCTAACTGCTTGTCTGGACATGCATTGAAAACTGTGTGTGAATCACACAATATACCAGTTCATCACAAGCGGATGAAGGTAAATGAGATTTCACAACTGCTATAAACTCATATTTGTGAAACATGTCCTTGCTTTGTAACAGTGTTTGTAACCAAGAAAGAAATAGCAAATGGTGCAACACATATTGCAGCATATTGTGCAAAACAAAAGATGCAGAACAGTCTTGCAAATGTCAAATCTACCTCGACACATCTTATGTTTCCACCTGACCCTCCAACAAGTCAGCAAGTGGCTGCTATCATTAATGATTTCCATACAGACCTTGAACAATCCAAATATGAAGAATTAGCATGTGCAGTATGTGGACTACTTATCAAAAGGTGATGTAGGGAGCAGTTGCACAGCACAAGCACTTAA